CGGATGTTTGCTGATAAGAAGGTCACGGGTGGTATCAGTGCCGACAGTGGTGTCCAGGCTGAGAACTCCTTTGCAGCCATCACTTGATAGCTGACGGAGGGCGGATGGTAGTTTGCCGGAGGACACATTAGCGGCGAACGCCCTTGCCAGGTCAGGGGGGGTCGATCGGGCGGCTGGCTGGTGCCTGTCCTGGACCTGCTTCTGGATGGTGGTTGACTCGCGGAGCAGTTCCGGCAGGCTTGCTGTTCGCCAAAGTTCTAGACGTCTCCTTAGGTGTTCCTGTGGAGACGGCTTGGTATGGTTGCCCTGCGGGTTCTGTAACATCAGCTGTGGGAAGACCATCGCCGCCTTGAGTGCGACATCTTCTGAGGCCGAGGCACTGCCAAAGCTGTGGAAGAAGGCACTCAGCTGGGAGATGAACGAGCGACCGACGGTGCCCTGGGGAACTGGGAACAGGTTGGGGCGGAAGTGGACGACAACCTCATACGCCTCAACGATGGCTGTCACAGAGTCTTCCCCTGTCAGTTCTCCAAGTCGGAATGCGGTGCGGTCCAGTGATGGGAAGACTGGTAGGTCGGGGACCTCTGCACCGTCTGCAGATCCAGCTGGGCCCCCAGTGGCTGTTGCGTCTGTGTCGAAGTTGGGAGTGCTAGAGGGTTGGCTTTCACCGGCATCCAGTGTGGCCAATAGGTGCGTTGCCTGGCTGTCGGTGATGGTGTCAGGGTCAGCGACTTGGACCGGTGTATTACTAGCCGAGTGCAACTCCTGATCTGTAACGTCCGGATTCGGCGCCGCCGCACTGCTTGCTGACCTGCGCTCCGCCACAGCAATCCCGCTGGCATTCACCATGGCACCATCGGCACACTCCACGTCCGCTGGCTCACGCACTTGGCTGGCAGGTTCGACATCGACATCAGCACTGTCATTGGTGTCAGGCGAGTTCGGCACCTGTACATGTACGTGTACTACGGAGCTACTGCCAGTGCGGGTACCGGGAGACGAGCTCGACCGGGCTGTGCGAGGTGGTCCGTGACCGTCTCTGCACTCTGCAAGTAGGGTGGTGGTGAGTACTGCGGCTGCACTCTCGGTGACTGCTGCCAGTGCTGGCTTGTGCACATTCGAGACATTTGGTACGGGTACGGAGTCTAGTGTCGTAGCTGTGGTTGCTCTGTTGTCGGAGCTCGTCGACGTCCTGCTGATAGTATGGTCCGGCACCGTATCACCAACAGCGGGTACGGTAGCTGTGGCCGTTGGTTGAGAAGACGGTTGGGAAGTCGGGGAGCTGTTTCGGCACTTGTTCTTCTTCGAAGGGAGACAATTCCGACACTCTCGGCCCTCCTTCATGCATTCGCACCGAACGCAGGTGCCGTTGCCGTTGCACCGGCAACAAGTGGCACCCTGCATCGGCTGGTTTGCGGGAGAGGCACGTCGAAGTCGGAAAATCCACTCAAAACCCTGGTTGAAATCAACCCGGGTCAAGAAAATCGTACAAACGTACTTCTGTGCGTATCCCGCGCCAGGTACAGGGTGTGAACGGCACTGCACATGCAAATTTCGCGCGAACAGATTCACGTGACCATACAGGACTGTAGAAGTGGACTTTTGGCGGCATATCAGTATTTGACCCGGGTCAACTGTCTTCATGTAAACTCTCACCTCTTTTTTCTATCGTACAGACTTTCAACCCGGGCTGAACTCGACCCGGGTTGAAATTTCTCATGTAAACACAGCCTTATTTTGAAGTGACCGTCCGGTTGAGAGTGATTGCCTCGTTCCAGATTAAGGACGGCCTTCTGTTTTGGGATGAAGGACAGACGAGATTGCACTTTCCTCGTGTATTGGGAACGATATTTCACCTGTACCGGTAAGTTGCTGCTCCATGTGTGCAAGCACAGGAAGCGTCGATGGAAAAAGCCCATGTATTCGTGCACGCCGACACCAAACTAGCAATACATGTACCGGTACATTGTACAATTTGTACTTCGAAGTAGTTCCCGAACTTACTTTCAACTCGCGTCGTTCTTCATTTGCTTGATGATTTGGACAGTCAGAGTCACCGCTTGAAGTTATTCTCTTCTCGTTCCAGAGCTACACAATGTTTCAAAGCAGGGAGTAGTAAAATACAGGGAGGTGACACGAGCATGTACGGCCAGTTTGACGATTGCCTCACACTGTCAGCACCGTTTTCACCCGCCGGGTGAGATTGGGGTACTATGGGTACCGAAGTGTGTAGACACGCGCGCGGATCAGGATTCTCTCGATCAGGGAGTAGTAAAATACCTACCGCCAAAGAGACTCCTACTGCAGCCCGTAGAAACTCAGCGCTGAGAATTTCCAACAATTGTCTGCCTTCACAAAGTTTGGTAGTCGACCAAACTACCACTATGTCAGGATAGAAGTCCAGCAAGACTGGTATCACTTTGGGAGATATCCCTGCGTGCCGTAGATTTTTCCTGTGTCGATACAAGCTGTTTACGAGGACGTAGCCCGCATTTCAATCCTTGACAAACTTAGGAACATTAAATTCCGAAAAGTGAACTCCCGAATCTCTAGCATACCATAATATGAAATGCTCATCATCACAAAGAAGGTAGAGAAGTACTGGTTGATCACAACTGAGGAGAAATTAGTGCCGATCGTGTGGTGTCCTAGAGATTTTTTCGACTTCGAAATCGGTGCACTCGCTTTTCATCTCCAATCGTACACGTATTGTTCTCAAGGAAATCAACTTCGTTCTATTGCTCCATGCCGTCGATCGGGACGAATTTCGGAAGGGTGGTACCTTTCCATATGGCGATGACACAGATGTATCACAAGAGCAAAACAAATGCTGTTCCATGAGATGGATAGACCTTTTCATGGAATTAGTTCTTCGACAAATACTCAAGATTGATTCAGCAGATCATCTTTTTTTGCGAAAGAAAAAAAAACAAGCGCGAGGCACCCATCAAAAATCACGATTAGTGGCGTGTCACCTCCCTGTATTTTACTACTCCCTGATTTCAACCCTCCCCTTGGGGGGAGGGTTGAAATCAACCCAGGGCGAAATTTCAACCCGGGTCAAGCGCAATGCGTCATGTAAACGCGCCATTAATTTTATGCACATGGCGGGTTGAAATCTGACCCGGGTCGAACTCAACCCGGGTTGAAACGCCTCATGTAAACACCGCCTTAGTCTCGCCAGTCTGCCGGTGGTCGTATCGAGTAGACTCTACTACCAGCACAAGGCAGCAGTCGTACCACTCACTGCACTGCACTGCAGTACAACTACAAGTCAAGTCCAAAAGGAGCCGCCTAGCCTGCGTCCGCAGACTCACGCTGCACAGCACGTAGACGTGCAGGACGTGTTCAGTCCACGTACGTCAGTCACACGACAGCCCGCCGAAAAAAAGTTACGGTCGGGCTGAAAATGTACGGTCGGTCGGGTGAGTCGAACCACAGACCTTCTTCAGTGTGGCCTATATACATTTTACGACTCGCTGAGTGTACCGGTATTTCATCACCCGCGGTACCCGTACCCGGCACCCAAGCTCAGGCGCCGGACTACTGCTATAGCTGCTCAGCGCCCCCCCCCCCCCCCTCCGGGCCCCGGTACGCGGTACGAGTGAGTGCGTGCGTGTGGTGAGTGTGTATTGTGTGTGTATGTGCGTGCGAAGATCTACGTGTGGTGTGTGTGTGCCGATGTGCTTGGTCGTGTGTGTGCGCGTACGGACATACTGTATGTACATGTGTGGTGTATAATGACACATTGTGTGTGTGTGGTACATGGTCTTCACTGGGGGCAGGGGTTCTGCAGTTGGATCCCAGGCTGCCAGGACCCAGGACGGATACCCTGATGCCGTCAACCCAGGCTTTTTCTGCACCTTGTCCTCACCCACTTACCGAGGTGTGGTGAGCCCATAAGTGGGATCATTTTCAAGTCCACCCAGAGTTTTGGGGATTTCAGGGGGTGTCGGCCGTTGGGCCAATTGAGTCATCTTTCCAAGATTCCTTTTGAGTCTCTCTCCCCTCTCCCGGGGAGACCCACGTGACCAGTTTTGGCAGTGAGCAACAAGTACAAAGTACAAGTACATGGTGTGTGTGTGTGTGCATGTGCCATGATGAACAAGCTTGTATTGCCCATACTGGCCATAGCTTCTAAACTAAGACACAGCCTCAGGCAAGTGGAGCGTGAAAGGGCCATGGCCTCACTCCTCAGACGAGTCAGAGGGGGGAAACTCCATGCAATCTAGCACCCTTACTTGGTTTTTCCCTGGCTCCGTCTCTGAATTTCCTGTGAGCCCCTAGCACTTTTGCATGTAACAATTAATTATTTAATAATAATACTTGTAATAATAATGAAGGGGGACACTGCTCATGGCTGGTAATGCTAAAAAGTAAAAACCAGTTTTCTTTTCATAGACATGCATACTGGTATGTCTACAGTGTTGCTCAATGAAATCCAGTCACTTCAATCAAGAATGCGCCGGGCGTTGCGCAGCCCTAGACCTGCGAACACTGGGCTGCGAAATGATGGAAGGCACAAACTTGAGCGACACGACTGGATTTCATTGAGCAGCACTGCACTGTACATGTATGATAGACTTGGTTGGGAAGTCACACCATGCACTGCGGCAGCGGCCGGCCCAGTCTAGTCTGGCAACATGCACCACTCTTCCCTGCCTCTGTACAGTCAGACCTCGCATAACCGCACACATCCGTTTTCCACAAAAACATCCGGTTGGGCGAGGGAATCGGATAATCGAACACACATACTGTATGTATGCATGGCACATGCTGTAAATTGGTAACCAACGATTTTCCTCCGGATGGCGAGGGATCCGGATAAAAGAGGACCGGATAAGCAAGGGCTGACTGGACTATAGTCTATGCCATGCCTGGACGTCAAGTAATTAGTTCAAGGGATAAAGCTAACAAAGCACTCGCACCCTGAATGGCACAGTCTACACCCTGCACAAAATTATGCACAAGGTCACACAAAACTATGCACAGGTCATAGCTCTTGTCAAATTTAATGTGTTTTTTTTCAGGGAAAATAATAACTTCAATATCATGGTGGCTATGATGTACATAACTTAATTAAAACTAGCCCGAAAGAATATCTGGAGAAACAGGATCAATCACAAGCTCTCATGGCAATGAGGGCCTCCCAGCTCCACCAGTGGAGCCTGATCAATAGTAATGCCATGCGGCAATGCACAACGACAAGCCAGCTAGCTAGATCCAGTGCGGTGACTGACAACATCTCAGGAAAGGTAAAGTGCTCACAGCAAGCAAGTCTACACGGCAGCATGTGCGCTGTGACTGTGCGCGAAGGGATTGGCGCCGTGTTTTGCAGTGCCGCTGCGGCATTGTGCTCTGCATACAAGCAAGAGTGTGATGTGTGCGCACGTGTGTATGTGTGTATGTGTGTGTGTGTGTATGTGTATGTGTTGATGTTACATAAATCAAGACATGCATCCACTGCATGCGTGCGGCACAGCACAAACGAGCAGCTGACACTGTCCGACACAGCAGGACCACAATTGCATGCAAGACTCAATTGCTGGTGAACAATTCGTGTGGAATCATTGAACGAGTTCAACCCGGTATACCGGCAGCGACGCCCTTTAGTTTACTAGTACTCACAAATGAGCCTGGTTTTAAGGCTTGGATCACAAGAGAGACAGAGCGCTTCAAACTGACCCACTCCGCAAATCCACTGCCGCGGTACGGGAGCCGGCCACTGATACGTACAATGTACATACTGGCCCCGGCAGTATCCGGCGGCTCAGCCGAACAGCTTGCCGTAACACTTCATGCAGTATGGACGCTCGCCGTGCTCCTTGAACGTGCCCATGCTCAGCTGCTTCATGCAGAACACACAGACAAAGTGCTCCGGGTGGTACTTGTGTCCCATGGCCGTGATGCAGCGGCCAGTCACCGGCTTCTTGCACTGTGAGCAGACCGCTCCCTGACGATTGTAATAGTGCTTCTCACAGTAGGGCATGAGATCGTGCTCAAAGAAGTTGCCGCCCTTGAACGCTTCGCCGCACTCCTGCAACAAGACACAGGCAACATCGAGAAGCAAACGAACATGTTCTTAGAGAGAGAGTTCAGGCGAATCTCATTACCACAGAAGCCAAGTGAGCAATGGCATTAGTTTGCCATGATTGGGGTGGGAGGGGGGGGGGGGGGGGGGGGGGTAGGGATGGCAGTGGTCTTCTTCGTCGCGCCTTATATCAAGTGACTCTGCACTATAAACAGAAATTTATGGCCAATGGAGAGACAAGCAGCATTTCCTACAAAGGTTTGTCTTACGCAATCTTCACACCAAGTTTCACCATAACCGTTGCATGGAAACCAGCCCAGATGCCCCAGCAAGGGAAACCAGCTCAGATACCCAAGCTCCGGGTTTGCTTCACAGCTACAGCTTCAGACAACACTTGTTAACCCGTGGGGATTTTTTGGTCAAACCCGGTCACGCCTTGCATACCCCTTAGTAGGGGTGTTCACACCACATTGCAGGCATCCATAGTATCCTCACAGCCTGTAACATGAACGCCAACAGAAGTCGATCATGGGCATTGACTGATCGAACAACTCACCATGCAATTGAAGCACTCTGGATGCCATTGCTTCTTCAAGGCTGACACAAAACTGTCGAAGATCGGACGCTCACAGGCACCACACTTGGGTGCGAACAGCTCGTAGTAATCGTTGCGGCAGTATGGCTGGCCATCTTTCTCATGAAAGCTTTCGCTGGGCCCGAACGGATTGCCGCAATGGGCACAAATGAAATGCTCGGGATGCCACGTTTTACCGAGGGCAGTCATGCACCGCTGAACAGTAGCAAGAACAACAGCAATCCGCCGATATTGTAACAGATACATCTCCGATATCACAGCTGAGACCCATACCAACTGAGAACATGACATGCATGTGCATTGTAGACTTCCCTAGAGCTAAAAAAAGAGAAAAATACACCCTTCTCGCAGAAAAAAAGATTTTCTCTTAGAAGTCCAACGGCTTACGTGCCGGCATCATTCAAGTTAGTGTGGGATGGCGTGCAGATCCAACAGCACCGTAAACAAAAATCCCTACAGCGGTGCAGGGTGTTTGCATAGTCATTCGCAGGGCACACTTCACATGGGGATGGCTGTACAATGAAGATATTCACACTACCTCAGTTTAGGTCGGACACGGCCTAGGCTACACATGCTTAGAGGGACATAACTGATTGACGGTTGGGCATAAGTGCAAGTCAGTACCGCTTCCAGGCCTCTGGCATAACAAGCCACTGCGTTGGTATTAGCATTACTACCGCACACCATCTAAATCAACGCGGGCCTACAGCGGATCGCGCTTACCTCCAGTATAGGCCCGTCGCAATACGCACACTTGGGCGCAAACTTCTCATGGTAATCCTTCTCACAGTATGCCTTGCCCTCGCGCTCAAAGAAGTTCCTCGTGGCCAGCTCTGCCTTGCAGCAGACGCAGATGAAATGATGCGGATGCCATGTGCGGCCTAGAGCTGTTATCACCTAGGAATAACACAAGCAGGAAGGTGTGTCAGTACATGTACTGTACATTCATTTCAAAACGAACCAGAAATCGACAAGGGCCCACAATACAAAAATCAGAACAAAGATGGACTCGGATGGAGAGCCAAGGGTTAATTTATAGTTGGTGGTGTTAGTGGACATTAGGGATACCGACTGTTCACCGAAAACAAGTTCACAGAATGACAGTTCACCGATCGACGTGAATACTATAATCGACCATCTCCGACCAGACAGACACATGCAGCATCACTATTAAACCGTGCACCAACCTGTCCAACGATTTCTTTCTGGCATGCCGAGCATGTTCCCTTCGATGAGCTAGTAATGCCCTGCCGCGACAGGTCGGACTGGAGATGGCCAAGCATGGAGTCTAGCTGACTGAGGCGTGCCGATGGATCCTCTTCCGGCGGCGCAGCCGGCGGAAACCCCTGACTGGCGGTGCTCACTGCGCCTAAACTAGCATCCGAGCCGGTGGCGATTGCCTTGGGATGCGCGTACAGTTGGTTAGCGCTGGCGTCGGACGCTTTATTACTTACTGCACCGCCGCCGCCACCACCGCCCCCGCCAGTGGTCATCTGGAAGTCACTGAGACTGGCCATGAGCGCATCCAGGTCGCGTGTAGCACTGGATGCGTCGGCCGACGGGGGCACAGGCGGGCTGGCCGAGTTGCTCTGCTGCGCCATGTTGTTCGGCGGCGATGCACTGGAACGCACTGACACGGCATTGTCCAGGTCCGTCAGCAGATTGCCAACGTCCGGCCTGGCCGCTGGCGACGACTTGTAGCTGCCCTGACCACCCTTCGAGCTGACACCTCCATCTGGCATACCCAGGGCACGAATTGCTGCAGATAAACCAGGCAACATGTCCAGCATAATCGTCAGCTAAGGATTAAGCACCGTACATTTGTATTGTATTGTATTTATTTAGAGTGGCAACCAGAAGAGACAAATGGCCTAATGACAATGTCACCACCCTAGAGAAGCGAATGAAGAGATGACAAAAAGTATAAGAGATTAAAAGACATTTCTGTAGTAATAATGCTACAGCGCTGGCCAGAGAAATTCGACCTCGTGAATACAGTAGCGCCGTGGTCGAGTGCACAGAACAGTGTACGTAGGGCAAGGGCTGTATACTGATCCACTGGTGCTATTATAATTCAGAGTAAGGTTGGAATTTTCTGTCCAGTACCCGTACACTGGGCGCAGTAGCAAGTAAGTACTTAGTTCAGAGTCTACGTAAGCCATGTTGATATTCTTTCACATCTCACCGCAGATGCTTGTTCACGGGGTTTTTCTGTTACTCCTCTGCTTAGGCAGATGGTGGCTTGTCCAAAATAGTGACAATTTGGGTTCACTACAAATCAGCACCATGGAGGGTGGATAAATAAAGCAAATGAACGCAGAACTGAAATGTCGGCAAGAAGCCCAAGCATGCCTTGTCGTTTGAAACTGTGTCTGCTGTGGTGCAGTTCCTGAAAACCTACACTGAGTGCTACGGCATACCACAGCCTGCGCCGACCCGCGGACGAGCAGGAGCACCACCGGCTCACCTGCCGGCGTCATCAACAATTACGTCCAAGTGTTTTGTAACAGAATTTGTAATCTGCGAATTGTTTGCAACAATGCATTTATGCACAAGTGCTACGTGGCTTCATGGTCAGAGTCCGGCATAAAGGCGGTGGACTATCATAGCCTTAGATCCATTTGGCATAACTGTTTGCTGCACATCCAGACCATTTACACCACGTACTGATGTATGCTCGCGCTGTGAGGAGCATCGCAGGAATACTCAGCACGTATGGACAGAGGCGGACAAGGGTACAGCAGTGGACGCGTTCAGGCAACACCTTGATGCAACCCAAGCAGAGCGTGACTATTACAGGCAAGCCACACCGGATGCAACGATGCAAAGGCAGAGCTTGGTGCTTGTACTAGTCTCCAGCAGCCGTTAGACACTCCCTGCGCACGTGACCTGCAACGTTCACACTACACATTTGATTGTGCGCAAAACGTTGCCCTGCCTCAATCCGCACGTCAGGAAGGTTATATTTCAAGGCACCTCGAAAAGTCCAAATATGTGGCATTCACAATGAAGCCGTGCCGCAGCAGATAAATTATTTAATTGATGAGTCAGATAACATCGGCCTGGATGGAAAGACCAGCCATGGCCCTAATAATGCAGTGGCCTCCATGCTCCCGGCACCATTTCTTTGCGCACCATGGGTTGCAGGAGAAGGGCTGCTGCCATCTGCACTGTGACAACTGCGGTGGCCAAAACAAGAACAGGATGTCGTCGCATATCTTTGCTGGAGAGTCCTCATGGGCCTCCATCAACAAATTGAGTTGTCATTCATGCTGACTGGCCATAAGCGTTGCCTTGTCACCGGATGCTTTGACCTACTGAAGCCGAAATTTCGACAGAGCGATTGCTACACCATGACTTCGTTGGCAGCAGTGGTCAATGAGAGTGCTGTTTGCAATGTAGCACAGCTGATTCCTGGATCTGGTTTGGAATGAAGAGCATGGGATGCATTTCTGGCTCAACACTTTAAGCCAGTGAAAGGTATCCGCAGTGTTCAAAACATGCTGTTTGATGCTACGAAGCCTGGAGTTGTCAGCGTTATATTATTAAGGCAGCGGTTGAAGACAACTACAAAGAGATAGTGCTGCTGACTACATCAAAGGATGCCCTAGTTGCTGCTGATATGCCACCAGTGCTACCACCAGCTGGGTTGTCAGAACAACGGCAGCAGTATCTCTACAGCCAGATTCGCCCACACATTCCGGAACAATTCCAGGATGAGCTCTGCCCCAAGCCGTCGCTGCCAGAAGCTACCAGCACTTCTTCTTCTGGTGTTGCTGCTGCAATGGATGACTGATGCAACAGTGAGGTTGCAGTATTCTAGGTTGAGCTGCTTTTTGTTTGCACACTTTCTGCTGGGTGCTGGGTGTAAGTATTGATGCGAGAATAATTTCATGCAATGACCATAGCTCAGTGGTTAGAGCATCGCTCCATTATACTGTCCAAGTTCACCTTCAACTGGCAGTAAAAATAGCAGAGGCTGTGTGTAGCCTGAATTATGCAAACATAAGTCATCACAGTATTCCTTCCATTTTCGTATGGTCCATTCTTCGCATGAATACAAAAATGCCTGCACACCGACTTGTAAAAATCAGCATAACTATGGAAGGAATTGAGATAAATCAGTTCTGTTTTTTTTCGCATGATTTTCTGCGTAACACCAGCTTTCAGGACATGTGAAAAGCTCAGTTTAGGTGAAATTTTTTTGTCCCTTTTCTCATCACAGGACTAAATATACTTTGCTTATTACACCAGTCATTCGACTTTGGATATACAGTACTCTGGCAGTATAAGAAAAAGTACAGATCTTTATCATGCTGCCCTGGGAGGTGCTGCATACTTCCTGCAGATGTACTGTTGACTCTCTAGCGCATTCTTTGCGTTCTATTTCAGTACTGTCTACTACTGAGGTGTATGCCATTGTCAGTGCTCCTAATGTCTGAAATAGGTACAGGGTCTCAGATTCCATCACATTCCTGGCCTGTCTGAGTGATTGCACACCAAGCTTCCTGCCAATGCCATAGGCGTGTAGCAGTTCCAGGGGGCTTTGCTTGCAGTTTGGGAAGGTAGGGATATCATAGGACCTCGCCCCAACACCCAAATGCATGCAACAAGGCCAGCATCACTACTACTAGTAAATCCTTAGACCACTGCCACTGCTGCAGTTGTGCCAGGGTTTGCTGAAACCCTTAGCCTAGGAATAGTGGGAGTTGTTCCAATTATCAATGCCTGTACTGCTGTAGCATACGCATAGGTTGAACACTGGCTGTGATTTTGAGCATTTGTCACTAGAATCACCATCACGAGGCAGCGACATATGCAACCGGTGCTGAAAATAGGTATTCTCTGCTTTATAACAAAACGCAATAGCACCAACAGTGCTACTGCATAAGCTATTATGACAACCATGACTGCTACTCCTCTACCTCATCCAATACAACACATATGGAGCGTCCCAAGAAAAGTACCGTCGGAAGTAACGTTAGTTCTGTGGATATTTTAGTTTCCACTGATTACTAATCATCTAGTAGTAATGTAGCATACTAGCATGTGAACAACCTCAAAACCCTCCTCTCCATGGCTGCTGGAAGCCATGTGCGGGCTCCTTGAACAACAGTTACACTTACAATATAGACCACATGAACGGCTCAATACAGTGCCAGGGTCAATTCATAATCCGACACCGTTTGTGTTACGGAAATTCGAGGACATTTTGCGGGTTACTGAAAATTATGCTGGTCAATTGAGAGCGCTGGTTTAAAACGGAGTGCTGGGTTAGAGAGGAGTGACTGTAACCTGGTAACAAGCACAGTAAAGCAAAATCCCCAAGAAAAAAGACAGAGAAAACAAGAGACCAGCATTTCACCACCACCCAATCTCTTTGTCAGTGGCCAGCACTCTTTTTCTGAGCTGAGCAAACCACTCATTTCCTGTGCAGCTGTCAAGAGGGGAAAGGCCCATTAGTAGAACACTTGCCAGCCGTCCTTGCATCTGTGCTGGACATGAATACTAGATTTCTGCGGCATTGCTAGTGCATGTATGGCACTGCTGGCATAAGTCACAAGATGAGCGGCAACCACCTACCACATGTGCTTGTGACAGAAGGCACAACAGTGCGTCTTGGTGCGCCGCGCAGCGACAAGCTGTAGGAACATAATCACCGATTCAGGTGGCGAGCTAGACCGGCGGCGAAAGCGTTGTCTTTCTTCGCAGCTCGCAGCTACCAGTATGGCAGCAACCCGGAGCTGGGGACACGTAATGTTACTTGTTGCAACATCGCTTTCATCTGCTGATTTACGTCGGATCCACGGAGCGGGCTTCAAACTACTAAGTTACAGGTCGTGCAAGACACAGTCACAGTGCACATGCACCTCACTCGTCACCACCATCCAAAACCAAAGACACTTTAACTACAAGACAAGAACTGGTACAACATGGTACAACAAGCACCGGTACTTCTTCCTAACGAAACTGCAACTACATCACAAGTGTCGCTGCGAACAGCAGCGGAAATGCATGACAATCATACGATAGTCATTGTCCGAAATAAAATTTTACATTGCAAAACACACAATCATGCTCACCTTCATCGTCTAAATCCATGCCAAGACTGGGAGAGTTGAGCGACTCCAACAGGCTGTCCAGCTCTGCAAGATTGCTAGATGCGTTCGTCATTCCAGGACTGACAGCACCTGATATATTGCTGGTACTGGCCACTGTACCGCCGCCAGACGAGGAGAGCATGTTGTTCGTCGAGGAGGTTGTTCCGTTCACTCCTGCCAGCGCTAGTGGTGCAGATCCTCCGTTCACAGCGCGCTGCGTTGAGATGTTCGAACTGCCACTGCTTCCACTACCAGTACTGGCGAGGCTCGCAGCGGGGGTCTTACTGCTGGGACGATCTGTGCGAGGCACGACTGCCTGCAAATCCTCCAGCAGCGCGTCTGGACGGGATTGAGGGACACAAGCAACGGCAGCAGTACCAGCGCCAGGTACATTGCGACGAGGCCGAGGACGGGGAGGTTGGCAATGATGTTGTTGCGAGGATGCAGCAGCGGAAAATGCATTGGGGGACACAACACGAAGAGAAGCAATGTTAGTGGCCATGATAAGGCTCGTCACTACAGACGTGCAGGGCCAGTGACAGGATATGGGACATCAAATCTAGCTAGCTTTACAATCCGGCAAGGAACAATGCACTCATCAGCTGATCACAGGAAACTCTAGAGCAAAAACTGGTGCGTTGTCGAAGCACCGATCTCAGCTGGTACCCAGCTCCTTTCTTTGACCAGTTACTAGTACTGTGTGGTTTGGGATTAAAAAAATATGTTACTTCTGCTCGTGCTCCGTAGATAATATTTCCAGCAACAGCCTATTGAGAAACAGAAGCGGCTCGCAAACCATTATACGCCAGAGACTGAGCACGAGGAGGGTGAATCATGCGTAAGAAACACCGCCGGTGCAACAGTTTCGGCTCCTTACGTTCGCCGAGTGAGGCAGGCAGTACGACACACATCGCAACGCATCGGCAGGCAAAACACAGAACGCACACACAAACATACGCCGCTCGTCAATACCATGCACTCCAACAAGCCAGCTTACTTACCCAAATCGTCCATGGTCGACGGATGCACCTCGCTTTCACCTCTATGGTCCCAGGTAGAATAGTCACTGAACGAAAGGCAGCTGCTGACCTACTCCACACGCTCACTACTCCCTCAAGCAAACGCTACATAAACGCAAGAACACTGGAAAGCTGAGTCGACGTCGCTCTCGCTGTTTCGTCTCCCTCGACTGTGTTTACGATCTGTGACTGACGGTGTGACGCGCTCCTCTTCTGTGTAGTTGTAGATCTACATACACCAGGCCCATAGTAGATCTACACACAGCCTACGGCGAGTAGAGAGACAGGAGCTAGCAGGCTACAACAGTTACTCGAGACTCAAGACAAGTCAAGACTCACTGCACTGACAAGAGTCAAGTCAAGCCAAGACTGGGCAAACCTGAGTCTCTGTCTCTGAGCTGAGACGACTCAGACGAGTCAGACTCATAGACTCATACTCAGCTGAGGCTCATCACTGACATCAGATTCTCAAGTCTCACGTCGAATCAAGGACAATAGTCAATACAAGGTGAGCTCACCTCAGCTGCGCGGAACCACAAAATCTGTTGATTCATACTCGACTCATACATTGTAAAATACAGTAATTATTGTACCGGTAGCCACTACGAAAGTAGGGAGGTTCTGCGTGAAACGTAGAGAAATCACGTAGAGAGCAGGTGTCTGGGTTAGAGTCTACGGCTTCGCGTGTTTTGGCTCCAGATTTCTACGCGGAGATGAGGTTCTCTACGTAAGTCGTTGTGGCACACGCAGAGAAAATGCGTACGGATTTGCTGGGTATCGATCACTGCATGCAGAAAACTGCCAAATATATGGAAGGGGAAAATCTCAGTACACATTCCACGTGACTTCTCTAGGTGAAACCAAGAGTTCATAACCCCCAGGGGGTTATGAACTCTTGGTGAAACGTAGAGCAGAACAGGATTTCTTTACGTTACGGGAACGCGAAGAAAGTTCGCGTGATTCTTTGCGTCGCGTTCCCAAAACGTAGAGCAGAACCTCCCTAGTAACTAATACTTCATTTTCTTCATTCTACATCATGATTCATAATGATTGTCGTCCTTTCATCGTCTTGTGCGTAGGCTTGTACTGTGTAGTTGTACTGGAAGCCTACACTCGAGAGAGTACTCAGTCAGTGTACTGAGATCTACTCTGTAGCCAGCTAGTTCACCCCCCCCCCCCCCCCCCCCCCCTAGCTGTCGACATGAATCAGTGAAACTACTGTCAGAACTGAATGACGACGGACGTACCGAGCACAGTCTGAATAGCCAAGGCGAGCAGCCGAAAACCAAACTGGCAAACACATGATCAACCGTCCTTCATACTCGTCACTGACATTTTCATTATAATTAATTTTTTTGTTATGACTATGAGCATGATGAGTGTCCGGGACGATCGATGCGTGTACGTGTAGATCTACGTGTGGACGTGGAAAACTGGAACCCTGATCATGCTGCGCTGGGCCATGGGTGTCCCACTGAGTCTGTAAAAAAAAAACTGCCGATGACGGTCTGTGCTCGTGTCTACATGATGCCATCTTCTGGATGCCAGATATGCAGACGCTACCATTATGATTTTTCCATCAATAATCATACTATTCATAGCCGCTAGCAACATCCGGTGATCTCTAGCTCTGTAGATCTACTTTAATACAGTGAGTCTGTGCTTCCACCAAAAATCATGATGGAAACGAGTAGCGTCTGCACCTGGCATAATTATATACTAGTAAAATTATTATTATGTGTACTTCTTTGATCAAGAGTACAATCTGAATCATAATACATAATTTTGCTATTCACCTCGTACTCTTGCTTTTATTAGTCGCATCAAGAGTACATACATGTAACCCCATACTCTTGGTCAGATCATCTAGCTGAGTACTACGAGGTGAATAGCAATTTCTGGACATGAAAATAAAATAGAGGCCCACTGGCTGTGTGTTTTACATTTTTCATATCTTTTTGTATCTATTGAATGGCCTAATCCTTCATCTTTCCAAATATGTGACAATTGCTCATGCTGTGATCCCAGAGACTTTATAGCAGGATGTTTTCGACAGTCCAATTTTTTTGGCCTAAATTTCAGTGTATGGAATTCTGGACATGAAAGTAAAATAGCGTCAATAGGCATCCTATACTGCACCATTTTTGTTATTTTTTCTATTGCTGGACTGCAGTTGGCCTCTTCACACTTCCAGCCAACAGGTCCAAGACTATACAGCGTCTGAAGTGGAGTGCACATGGGGAAGCCAACGATTCGTCCATTACTTCTTATTTTACTCAAAATTCTCATGCGACATAGTACCACAAAACTCGTTGAAATGCCTCCCAAGAAAAGGCTATCAACAAGGCACCGACACAAGGAGAAACTACAACAGCCCAGCTGTCAACTACAACAAGAACAAACTTCATCAACCTGACTGACTGGACTCTATACACGCGACGAAAAATTATTTTACTCTAAATGTCCAGAAATAGCAATTCACCTCGTAGTACTCGAGTTAGTACAGCCCACACTAGTAGTAGGTCAGACCTCGCGGCTATAACGTACAATCATGTACATGTACACGACTTGTAATCTCTGGGATACTGAGCACATGTACTGTATAATAATAGTATGGCAATTATTTTAGCGAAGTTTATGTTTATATTAAAGACCATGGTCTTATGTGCGAGAGGAAAACATCGCATCGACATGTACATGTACATGTGCAAGTACAAGTATTATTGGTTAATGCCAGTACAACGGAACCATAATGAACCTCGTGTGGTTTTGTGATTTTCATTCACTTATAAGTATAAGAACATTGTTCTTATAAGCGAGAGCAAGAGTACATAAAACAGGTTTGTGTACTCTTGGCGAGAGTGCTCTTATAATTATTCGAAAATAAGAACATTGTCCTTAAATGCGAAAGCTCACATCACGTGTTCAAAGTACAATTTGTACTACATACAAGTTCAACAACAATTTTACAAAGGCCATAGCGTGTGCGCACTCCGGTTTGATTATGCTGAAGACTCGCATTAGCTGAGTGGGTTTCTGTGACATTAACTCCGAGGCCAATGGTCGCTAAAACAGGCCGGGAACGTGCAACGTTACGGGAACACTACGAGTACACCACGGTCGTGACGTGAGTTTTCGCCGTTGGCTGACCCCATGGAAAGGTATCCAGAGTTGCACACTCTTGGGAGCTTATGACGTTATGTATTCTTGGTATGGAGGGAATGCATGCCATGCTATGTGTTGAAAAGATGGAAAAAGAATAAGCTAACACCATAGCGTAAGAAAGGTGTTTGCTCCCCACACCGGACCACGCGTTTTCCGCCAACTTGATTTGACTCACGCCTGGAATGCCATCCACAGCACACGAGAAGTCCATCGAACCTTCGACCCGGCAAACCTGCAAGAAAGCACCACTCCTTGCTCAATACACAGTGTTTCGGGGAATTCAACCCTCATCAGTTGAGCTTGAGTAGGCTGAGGAAGATTGCGATTCCGCGGCCACGGCAAATTTCGCAGAAGTTGCCATCATCCGCGGAAATCACGGAATCCACACTTTTGCCCGCGGAATCTGATTTTTTTAGGGCAAATCACTAAAATTACTACTCAGAAAGCAGCAGAAAAACTACTTTGCAATCTGTTTGAGCACATAACATGTGACATTTCCCTTGCCAGTGTAGGTCTCTCCAAGATTCTTCACTCTCATTCGGTTTGTGACTGCAAAGGATAGTATGAAAAGTGCTCCTTCATGCGACTAGTTGTCATATCCTCTATGAGGAGGGTGAAAAACTTGCAGAAAGTGCCGCAGATTTGTGATTTTACCGCAGAAAATGCAGCAGAAAACCCCCCTCTTCCCCGCGGTTGAATTCTTGGCCGCGTTTTTCCAAAGGGACAGGTACCTGTCTGGGAGTTAGAGTTTTGAGTTATATATCTATGCATGTTTACGAGCTGTTTCTTTTTCTTTCCTTTTTTTGAATTTTCACGTTTTGGCAAAAGAATCCGTTGTTTCCGTCTACAGCATGCACATAGATCTACACGTACATGTGCATGCAGGGAGTCTATTGGTGGCATATTATGGTCTATAGCTACATTAGTCACTATTATGTAGCTATAGGTCATAATAGGGATGTTATGTAGGGCGACTGAAGCGTATGATAAAACAGTGGATATACGTGTGCAAGATTGCATGATATAATTTTATCATGCGGCCTTGCACACATGTATCCATTGTCCCTGGAAATGAATTGGCCTGGCATGCACCTTGCCATCCTTGGCCAACTACAGTACAGTGTTATTTTGTGTCCAAAGTGAGTGTGTTTGTGTAGCCCTGAGAAGTCAAGATCGCAATGTAACTACATGTACATGTATGGAGATGTGCTCCGTCTCCGGACAACTACGGGGAAAATGTGTGTAGAGTCCTGGACTACAATGTAGAGGATGGGGGGAGGGGCATTACAACTAAAACTCGTTCAAGAAGAACACTGAGATGACAAACTTTTGCTTTAGAAGAACTACAGTCTTGGCAAGTGAAATCCGACACTTGGCATACGGGACTACGCCATGCAATGTGCAGCCCTGCATACGTAGTACATGTGTTACATACAACTTTTATCTTTCCCATGACAGTAATCGTACTATTCACAGTCAAGGTTCACTTCAAAGGTTCAAAGGTGCTTGCAAAAATGGTGGGGACTGGATACCAATACTCTTTATATGTACCATGACTGTGAACTGTGTGTATCTACGCTGTAGCCTTTCGACCTGTGTGGGATGCACACGGCTCTATTGTACGCATTTGGTGCAGTGCGTTACATCATTGATGTCCATTTGTGGCGCTGTCCCCTATGGCAAGTGTCGGATTTCACTTACCAGGACTGTAGTATTCATAACTCTACTCAGCCTAGTACTGGATAAACCACTGTGTAACAGTTATTCAGGGGCGTCTGACACGGTATGGCCACTACGGTATTGACCGTACCACTCTTGGCCCCAGGTACCCCGTGAATCAATCAAAAGCACCCATGTCACAGTGGACTCTGAATTTTCGAAAAATTATAGCGGAGCCATCCTCTCTCAACAAGTGTACCTCAGATGGCTGACCGTACCACCCCAAATAACCTTCCGACGCCACAGGTATTCCAATAAGAAGAACTCCGCAAACAAATTCCAACGGTCCCTTGGTGTTCGTCCTAAAGAGCAAGAGGTGTGACTTATATTCGGGAAATTTGGTATTTTTTTATCTAGTGATTTGTTTTGGCTAGACGACACTAAGCGGCAAAATGAGTGCAATCTAATCGACCCCAAACTGGCTGATATACAGAAGTTGGAAAACAGAACAAAGTGGGCATTCCGTTGTTTTGGGAAACGAGAAAATTGAGCCGAGTTTCACACTGACAGCGTGCAATTGACCTCCGACCAACTACTTTTTTAAGAGTAATGGTACAAGTATACCTATAAAGTCTCTAAATAATTGTAGGAAAATATGGAATTTCTTTAAATTAAAGTGAGCCAACGATTGGGCAGGAGTGCTAGTGCTAGTGAAGGGGTTTGCAGTATAATTATTGTCCAACAATGACACAGCATTTGGGCAGCAGTGAAAGCAACGGTCATCAGCAGGGAGTATTGCTTGCCTGGGTTTCAGCGCGGCACTCTACACTGGCCAGTTCACTCTGCATCCGGTTGGGCGTAGATATCTGTTAGAAAGAGACAATGAGCACAGCCATGTAACTTATATCGTAGCTGGCAGTGTGTTCGTCGTCATGGTAGACAGAGCTACAGCAGTCTACGAAGGAACACTCTACAATTCCCCGAAAAGTGGTACCTTTCAGGCGCGTGCTCGGCGATGGGCACGGGGGGGGGGGGGGGGGGGCCACGTGGACCCCCCAAAAATTTTCAATCTGGGTAATTGCAATTGTAATGTATGCAAATATGCTCTAAAATTCAAGAAAGGTTGCAAACAAATTGCAGAAAATTGCCGGGGGGGGCTCCCCTCGGCTCCCGTGCACCCCCCTAGTTGGGGGGCCGAGCACGCCCCTGCCTTTACAGCTCATTCATCTAAAAATAGTCCCCCTGGCTTTTGCAGCCCAATACTTGGCTCAAAAACTATGTTAAAGACAAAAATATGGGTTTTGGTCCTGGGTCTTTGGGGTAGGGCTGAAACGAACAAAATTTCTCGCTAATCGAATATTCTTGACGCCATAACAAATGAACAAATATTCTTATTCAAGGTAGGTAAGAGCGGTTGCATGCAGCGGCTTGCAAAGAAAGCAAATGTTGCTTCTGCTGGGTATTGTGTGGTGATCTGCAATGCCACTACACCCTGCATTGCACTCTTAGGCTGTGTTTACATGAGGCTTTTCAATCCTGGGCGAGTTTCAACCTGCCATGAGCACAGATTGACTGGAGCGTGTACATGACGCATTGCACTTGACCCTGGTTGAAATCGAGAAATCGTAGGTTTGCACAGCACACTCACATTTCACACGAAAGCAGTGATGTGACCATACAGGACTCTAAAAGTGGACCTTTGTCGACATATCAGTAATTGACCCGGGTCAACTCTCTCCATGGAAACACCCACCTATTTTTTTTTCCAGCGTACACACTTTCAACCCGGGTTGACCCGAGTTGACAATTCCCATGTAAACATAGCCTTATAAGTCCCTGGGGCACTTTCCTGGGACCACTGATCTGATGATGAGTTGTCCCAGTGGTTGTGAGACTTATCCACTCACCCCACCGTTAGGCGCTGCATCTGCCGCTAGGGTTTATCGGGTGTTAGCGGCCGTCGTGAGTTCCCGTCGGGAACGGACACGATAATTTACTTTTTTCTTTCTTTCTTTTTTTACTGATCAGAGTACTAGTATTTAGCTACATTGGAACACGATTGAAATGCCGAAGGGATTTGTAACGGTTCTCCTCTGACAATGCAAAACATCACAGAGTGTGTCTAAATCAGGCGAGCAGCAGCAATGGCAGCAAACTCACCATCCGGCTGATCTGGTCGGTCGCCATGTTTGTGCTGCGCGCAATAGGGCAGGTCGTTTACAACAAAGAATCGACCATCAGCAAACTGCTCTCCGCATTTCTGCATGAGCACCAAGCACAGAGTGAGAACGCAGCAAGACACGACGTGTAAGTGCCCGCACTACATCAGGAGAGAACTCGTGTAAATGTAAACTACATTCAGAAGTCACAGTACATGTCAAAGTGTACATTATTAGTATACATGATATACATAACGTTACTGGCAAACTACTGAAGAACACATAGCGGCATGCGATCTACAATATGAATGACTGTAACGATCTGTGAAATAGCACAAGTTCAGGTCAGATTGTAGTCACGATCTTAGATAGATTGTAACATGAGCGGCCGGCGAATATTCAAGTTTAGTGTTTCACCACTGCCATCTCGACAAAAAGGCTGGTAAACGTACATATCATGGGTGTTGAGCACTGCTTGGCCGGCACAGATGTACTCGCTGGTACTTAACTTGTATTAGACACGATTTATAGAAATGCGGTGTGCATGCATGCTCTCCAAACGGAAGGGCATCCCACCCATTGTACACCTGCAGCAGGTCCCATCACCACATCTGCGCAATACGGTGTATGCAAACGAAGGGCATACCGCCCATTGTACACATGCAGCAGGTCCCATCACCACATCTGCGCAGTACGGTGTACACCCTGCATGCTCTGCAGTCGATGTTTTGTTACATTCTCAGCACATTCTGCTGATACTGTTGCCAGTGCAAGCTGAAGTGCAGCACTTCAAAGTGGCACCTTTTTCTTTGGAGCATAGTCAAAAATTCGTTCACTGGCCACAGATCGAAATGAACTTACTACAGTCCATTTCAAAACTATAGGCGCATACCTAGGCAAAAACCGTTATGCCAGCATCTATACCACATAAAATATGTGATCACTTTGTGCATAATTTTTTCCAAATTGGGCATCTGTTATCCAATCGTTTAGAAACTATATGAGAGTAATTGCGGAGCGGACCTGAGCAATATTCCGAAAACTATTCTTAAAAAGTTCCAGCCAAATTTGAAATATTTCAAAAACCCTACGCGTCTATAGTTTTGAAATGGACTGTAACTCTGCTGCCACCATATGAAGGGCTCTAATTCAAAACGAGATAAATCCATTGTGTGGAAAATTCAGCATTTTTTTCATTTTTTCTTTTTGGTCTGCACTGCAGCATCAGTGACTTGTATCCGATTTTGCAGAAAAAACACCTTCAGGCATCATATTGACTGGGATGTGTCACGTTTTGACCCGTAAAACCGACACACAGACGTCCGTGGGGTGAAAACGGATTATTTCGAGACAAAAACGCACGAAAGCTCCAGTTCGGTCTTTATCGCGTTGTGAATTGGAGCCCTTCATGTACACCTTTGATCCAGGTTTTCATGTACTCCCGAGTCGACAAGGAAAAAAGACAGTCGCACTTACGTTACACACAAAACATCCGGGATGCCATTTCTTCTCTAGTGCCGTAACTGTCTTATCGGGAATTGGCTTCTCACACTTGCTGCACTTTGGCTTGAACAGCTCGTAGAAGTCCGGCTTGCAGTATGGCATACCATCCTTCTCTAGGAAGCCTTCGCCCGGCTCGAAGAGTTTCTTGCACTCTGTACAGACAAAGTGCGCGGGCATCCATGTCTTCCCAAGCGCGGTGGTCACATCCTGAAGCAAGGCGGGCACAACAAGTAAGGACGTGAGCGCAACACGAAACATAAATGTACAAACAAACGATTGGGATGAAGAGCAGTGGAGTGTTGACATTCCCCGGGTTAAACTCGAATACTGATAATATTAAAGAATGCTTAGCATGGCAAAAAGAAAATGCCGTGCAGAAGACATGACAGAATTCTGTTTCATGTTACTCTAGAGCATCTTGCCCGGCAATGCAGCTCACCCCAATGATGCCTTCTCCACAGCAGCCACACTTGGGAGCACACTTCTTCTGGAAACAGTCACGACAGTAACCAGCATCCTCATGCTCAAAGAACGACTTTCCATTTAATGATTCTTCGCAGACACAGCACACAAAATGATCGACATGCCAGCTATGGCCCATAGCCTTGATGTACTGGAGAAAAATACACGCATCACGGCACACAGTCACATGTACACAGTCACATGCACGCGCACACACACCAAGTATCATGTATTGGCCCGCCGCAAGAGAAGCACACAAATCTGCAAATGCACTGGATGTGCACCCACAGATTTTTCTCTTATAGCAATGATAGAGAATCTGAATCTGAATGAAACAGATCAAGACTTACGCAAGATTACTGTCTAATCCACACAACTGGCGAAGCCATGTGAATCGCCCCCCCCCCCCCTCCCAATGTACACCTGGTCTACACCACACAGAGCACATCGGAATAGGACGGCCAAGACAGTTACCTATGCACACTATACACTTGCAGGGGTAACCAGTATAGGCAGACCCTAGATGCACTGGTATCTTGAAGTGAAATTGGAGTTACTTTTCCAACCAGCCTCGGCAACTGAGAACTGGGAACCCAGGGCCAACAGACATACCAACAACCTCAGCCATGAAAGCTATACAGTCAGACCTCGCTTAACCCCACACATCCGTTTTCCACAAAAATATCCGGATAGGCGAGGGAACTGGATAACCGAACACCGGTTATGTTGGATGCATCACGAATGCTGTAAATCTGTAGCCGGCTATTTTCTTCCGGATGGCGAGGGATCCGGATAAAAGAGGACTGGATAAGCAAGGTCTGACTGTACTAGTAACGAGTACTAACGACTAGCCCTTGGCGGATTATGCCGGCATAATATTTGGCATAATTTTGGGATTTCGTCAAAAAATTATGCTCCGGCATAATACAGGTCCTCCCTCGTTAGTAGATAATCTCTGGGCCATCGAAGAAGTTATCTTATAACGAGACTTATCTTGTAGCAGGACTTGCAGCTAAAGGTGAAATAGGCACTACTTCGTACTTACCGGGGCTACCCTCGATACAACATAAATTATCGATGCTTCAACTCGTTATAAGATAATTGAAAATCTCCAAGTTACTCCAACATAACTCTTCCTTGGATGCAAAGGATCGTCCATATTCACGAATACATAGACATAATACGTTTCCTCTTTCTGCTTTATCCAACGTGTTTTGGCCTTGGTCCTGCATGGTCAATATTATCTTATACTGAGGGTTTGGCACTCCAGGGACCTGGTCAAAGGGTCGTTATAACGGATTTTATGTACTAACGGATTATGTTGTAACCGGACCTGTAAACAGTTGTATAGACCACGTTTTGCCAGGGGATTTCAGCTTTCTATTTACTAACGGGGTTTATGTAGTAACCGGACTCGTTATAATGAGGGAGGACCTGTATACGGATTCCAACGTGCAAGGTCGGCATAATCTTTCGGTTTAGACAAAAATTATGCTTAGGGGCATAATACAGCTTTGTCAGAAAGCCTGCAGATGCTTTTTTTTTTTAATACCCCAGTTACGACTCCTTGTCATAACCCTTGGCGGATTATTGGCATAATCTTGGGATTTCGTCAAAAAATTATGCTCCGGCATAATATACGGATTCCAACGTGTAAGGTCGGCATAATCTTTCGGTTTAGACAAAACTTATGCTTAGAGCATGGCCATGTGTGTATGCGTGGTTTCTCAATCCTCTATGTACAGCATGAATACATAGTGGAACTGAGCATAATTCAGCATATTTATTGGCATAATTGTGGCATAATTTGACGATTGGCCGAGCATAGTCCGCCAATGGCTACTAACGACACACTGGATTGTGCAGCCGAAACTAGTCCAACTTCCAAATGCACACACACACACACACACACACACACACACGCGCACACGCGCACACACACACACACACACAAGTACGTGCACGCATGCGCAAGAGCATGTAATTGTTGTTCAGCTCCTTACCAAGACTGAGACAGACAGAGAGAGATAGGAGCAAAGCCCGCAACAGATATGTTTCTTACGTCTTTGGTGCATTCTTCATGGCATTTGTAGCAACTAACGGGGCCCTCATCAGACATGTTGTTTTTTTGGAGGATAGAAAAAATAGAGACACTGTGCAAAAAGCATAATAAAAGACAGACTGGTTCAGTGGTCAACATTGTTTCTGCTACTCGTGACCCCAACTTGAGTAGTTCTTGCAGCATACTTGCAATACACATCCGTGAATGGAGAGAGGCTGAGAGGGAGAGAGCGGGATGGTTGCCAACGATTATAGTGATCATGAAAATACCCAAAGAAAGCCTGTCACCCTTGTGGCCGGCCAGGAAAGTAGTGCGAGCAAGTAGCCTTAAAGGGGAAGTTAAGGCAAAAATTAAAATTTCACCTGTTGTAGTCTTCGGGGTGCTGAGTCGAATGGTCTTGGTCCGAGAAAGCTGAGACGCTCCCTTCCTACTTGAATCCCAATCGAACTCGCGCACTTCCACCAAAACTGAGTGACTGCGCCCTACTAGATGGGGATTTGTATGCAAAATGTCACTAAAAGCACCATTTCGTTCTTATAAAAGCACGGATGACCGCGATTGGCCCATATGTTGTAGTCTTTTGGACGCTGAGTCGACTGGTTTTGGTCCGAAAAGGCTGCGATGCAGCGTTCCTCCTTTATTCCCAATCGAACATGGTTGAACAAGCGGTCACGTGCTCCTGCGTACACCAGTCACCTGGTCACCGTGCCTGCAGGGTACAACTTACTAGCCTGTTTGACCTTTTTTGGGTGCAGTCCTGTCACTCGAGTTGAACTCGAGGTGAACCTTGGTGTGAAAGTTGTCGCCTGCTGGCGTGGTGACCAGGTGATTTGGGCACCCAGGAGCACGTGACCACTTGTTCAACCATGTTCGATTGGGAATAATGGAGGAACGCTGCATCGCAGCCTTTTCGGACCAAAACCAGTCGACTCAGCGTCCAAAAGAGTACAACATATGCGCCAATCGCGGTCATCCGTGCTTTTATAAGAACAAAATGGCGCTTTTAGTGACATTTTGCATACAAATCCCCATCTAGTAGGGCGCAGTCACCCGGTTTCGGTGGAAGTACGAGAGTTCGATTGGGATTCAAGTAGGAAGGGAGCGTCTCAGCTTTCTTGGACCAAGACCATTCGACTCAGCACCCCGAAGACTACAACTGGTGAAATTTTAATTTTTGCCTTAACTTCCCCTTTAACTTTAAAGTGCAGTCTTGGAGACGTACTGAAAACAGTGCTGGGAGAGGTGACACTGCACCGACTTGGTGGTATCTGCCTAATGACAATACCGTAAAAGTCCGTAAATAAGTACCTGCTTGAAAGAAATACCCCCTTCATTCTTTTGGCTCTGTCTGTTGAAGTCAAGTCAAGCTTGATAAACATACTGCCCGAAATAAGTACCGGTACGGTGCGCATATGCAGCACGTAGCATGTACATCAACGTGAAAATGACTTCTCCACTACACACAAGTCAGGTCCGAAAGTTAGTTCACGCCCGAAAGTCAGTACCCGCCCGAAAGTTAGTACGGGTGTGGTCACTAAATTCGAAAGTAAATACGTACTTATTTACGGACTTTTATGGTAGTGAAAAGGGTACTTGGTTTGAACAGAAAATCGTCAAGGGTGCATAACCCCTATGAGTGTACAACTGCCTGTACAACCTTTATCCAGTGCTGCGACGGCAGAACTTTACATCACGTGACATTGTTCAACAGATTGTGTTCGCAAATAGTTCAATGCGACTGGCCATGGCATAGAGTTGAAACAAAAGAAGGGGTGTGCACAATCCTGTATCTATCATGTACAGGGTGCAAGTAATGCGTATGGGCTTGTGACGTGATGCGAAGTTCTGCCATCGCAGTCCCAATAGCTGGAGTTGCACACTCTGTGGGTTGTGTGCTCTTGGTAATAGTGAGGTTCTGCTCTACGTTACGGGAACGCGACGCGAAGAATCCCGGGAACTCTCTTCGCGTTCCCGTAATGTAAAGAAAGTCTGTTCTGCTCTACGTCACGTAGAGAAATCATGTGGAATGTGTACTGGGAATTTCCCCTTCCATATTTAGCAGTTTTCTGCCTGCATTTGATCGATGCCCAGCAGATCTGTGCGCATTTTCTGTGTTTGCCACAACGTAGAGAACCTCATATACGCGTAGAAATCTGGTCCCAAAACACGCGCAGCCGTAGACTCTAACCCAGACACCTGCTCTCTACGTGATTTCTCTACGTTTCACGTATAGCAGAACCTCTCTACTACTGGTAGTGAGTGACCGAGGGCCGGGAAAGGCGCGCCGTCAGCACAGATTCGGTGGATGCTGCCAGAGCAGTCGATGCTGAATGGAACCGTGGCCACTTGAGAAATACTGTACTAGTAACCTGCCAAGCCAGATATGGACTGTGCTTGTGTACATGGCATTCAACATGTAGTCAGTGTGCCGGTATACTGCAGTACAGCTGTACCATGATCCATGTCTATGTGTACAAGCTAGACTATAGTGTGAAGTAGACTTTTACCAAAGATGTTCTCCTTCTCAATCTCCACCCTTCCCGTGCACGGACCACATACACCACGTAGAGCTTCCAAATCCAGGGGCATCGTTTCGGATACTATTCCCGTCTCGCCTCCGAAGATGCTACTACTCATCTCGTGTACAACTCACTGGTGCATCATATGCCGCAGTGCACGAGCAGCGTGTGTAGGACAACTGGAAGTCTGGAGCTAAAAAAAGTCTGGAAGGCAACAATTCAACTGGACCGTACTACTACAGCTGCAATGCACCATTCTGTATGTCTAGGATGCAACACGGTGATGGAATGCCCGAATGGGTTGGCCAATTGGGCAACATGAATGAGATCGAGCAACAAACGCGGTCGCATAGAAAGTCCATGCAGGTTATCAACGAAAAGCACTCCTCGTTTCCGTGCATCTACAGCTTTTCTTGGCAAACGGCCCCAGTCTACAATATTTTGAACAGTCACACAAGTAAGTAACTTACCAATGGATGAGAATCAGAGAAGTCGAGGCTACTCTCAACAAGATTTCTAGAAAGATTCTGATAGAATACGAAACAGATGCCAGTTCCCGTCTGAGAATAGAGCTTCCGTTGTAAGAAAGAAAAGCTTGTTGAAACCGGACTTTGTCGCAGGAGGAAGAAAAGCCACTAAACACGCGACCACCACTTCTAAAGTGATCTACTACTACCAAGAAACTGTCTCCGGGACTGTCACTGAATACACGTCCTGTACATGATATGAAAGCCAGCCAATCTTAGAGAGGTTCTGCAAAACGAAAATGTGTACGAACTTTCGCTCTACGTCACGAAGTGAGAAACTTCGCACGAACTTTCGCAACTTTGGACGCGAAACTTGCAGGGAACGCGAAATGAACTTTCGTAGGAAGTAACTTAGTTTCGTGAGATTGGGTCATGTCGTACGTGCACTTGGCGCGTGCAAACTACGAAAATGTGCAGAACACAAAGTTCGTGCGAAAATTCGTACACATTTTCGCAAGGCCTGTCGCGAAACTTCGTTCGAATTTTCGTTGTGCAGAACCTCTCTCTTGTCTCCGTCTTATCTTGACTTGAAGCTGAAGCCGTGAAGAGTTCACGTTGTCGTCGTGGTACGGGACTGGCCTCGAACCAGGGAACTGGAAGTCGTAGAGTCTTTTGCAGCTTTGGCACATGAACCACCATATATGGCAATGCGGATGTGCCATACGCGCATATATGCGCATGTACCAGTGCAGTGCGCAGTACAGTACAGACAACTTCACACTAGCATTTGGCCAATCAGAGAAGCACCGTAGATCTATGCTTCCACATTAGGAATAACCAGCAAGAGTCCATAACCTTATGGACTCTTGCAAGTCGTCGTCTTGGTAGATCTACCAGGCTGCTGCAGCACTGCAGCCCTGCACTGCTGCAGTGGTCATACCAAGAGAAATTTTCCACGAGGACCAAGAACAGTCTACAGTTAGGGTGCGTTCTTAAATCCTCTCGGAAAAGTTGGAGACTCTCCGAAAAGTTCGAGAGCTGTTCTTATATCCTCTCCGAATTTTAGGAGGCTCTCCAAAGCTCTCCAAGCTTCAACCACCTCTGAGGTGGTTGAAACTAACTTACTTACTTGGAGATTCCCGCGGTTTGGGATCAGCGCATGCGAACTAGCCTAAAAGCCACGTGTTGATCATGAGTGTACGCATTTCCCTTTTCGCATACGCACAGCGCATACTATATTCGTGGCACTCAAGATCGCGGCCCCTTTGGCGCTTCATTTTGCTTGACATCTGCAAAATATCTCCGAATTCTTCGAGACCCGTTCTTGAAGAATCCCAGTTTCTTCGACTTCTCTTTTCTTCTTCTCCTACAAAAAAAAAAGCTAGAGAATTTAAGAACGCACCCTTACTTGTAGTACTACCAAGAGTACATAACCCAGTGGGCCATGGGGGTTATGTACTCTTGGTACTAGCAAGAGTACTCTTGCTAGTCTTGGTACTAGTGGGTCGCATCCGTCATCTTGATGTCAAGATACGATGAAAGCTGACGTCACGGGTCGTATTGGTGCAGTGTAATACTCTAGGCGTGGATCACCGCTCCGATGATTCATGAAATACATAATGGCATAACGATGCAAGCCACATGTGCCACTCTGGACGGGAAGCGGTTAAGCACCCCCAATGACATGAGCATTTGCGTCTTTCGCCGTTCATGCAGTTATCGGCCTGCACCACCTCATGGCCATGCCCGTACAGGGCATCATTCCCTGGCTAGCCATCTCACCTGTCCACTACAATCGTCATGGCCTCTGTTCCCGGGCCCGATTGAAATGCACACGAACCTGCACCACATAGCGCAAACACCCTTCATGAATAGCACTACAAAGCACACACACGAGCTCCGGAAGACTTCAGGTTAGTAGCCAGATGACATAACTTACTCCGTTGTTGATCAGACGAGCTTGCATAACCATGGTAACAACACGATAATGCCAAGCATCTGCTCACAACATACAAGGTATCTGGAGAATCAGACAAAATATAATATGGCACATCTACAGATGTAACAATCTGCAATAGCAAGAAGATCACAGTAACAATAACATCAGCGGGGGTGCTCCATCAGCACTGAGCGTAAGTAGAGAGCAAACAAACTACACTCGGAGTATTTACAAGCAATATAATTATAATATATATACATGTACATGGAGAGGACGTGAGACGCCAGGCCACGTTGAATGGGACAAGAGAGACGCGACAGTCATCAATATAAGTTTACACTCGGACGATGTGTTGCGCGCCATGACTACGACGACGACGACAACAACAACAACAACAACAACAACAGCAACAACAACACCACCAAACCGTGATCAATGACTTGCGTATGGATCAGGAGTCACAAGCAGAACACAGTACAGGACAAAGTACTCAAATAATCAGATGAGGGCTATGTACACATGGAAGGAGAAAATTGAAAATCGCGCACAGCACGATGAGAGAAAATTTAAACTGGATAACTGGTCAAGGCATGCGCATGCATTTTTCTGTTGGCTGTTGGCTTACTCCACAAAGGAACACGCCGGGCCGGGTTCCTGCTTTGCTTGGTCAATTCTTCTTCTTGGCGCCAAAGCTACCGAAGCCCATCATCTTGGCAATCTCCGGGTCTAGCTCTTCCTCCTCTTCTTCCTCGGCCTTTCTCTTCTTCTCCTTGCGACGATCGATGCGCGCTTGTCGAACACGCTCGGCCTGGGCACATCAACAAGCAAACAAACAAATATAGTACAGAGCTGTAGTCAATAGCAGGGTGAATGAAAACAGATGCACCTACAGATCCAGTACTTTCATGAAAGGCCAGGAGTTTCCCATACGTGAACTACAAGTAAGGTGGAACAGAATTTTATTGCAACTCAGTAATTGCAATTGAGCAATAGAGCACTTTGTGCACAGAAAGGACGTAACCCACTTTGTACATAGGAACTACTCTAATTTCAGAAATTTTCGGTGCTCAATATTTTCGATACGAGGGCAAAAAGCCAGGTTAGGTGAACAGAAATTTTAGGTACAAAGAAGCAGTTCCCTATTGGATCATGTGTGTTAGTGTTTGTTCGGTGTATTGAAATTTTAGGTATGAAACAGATGCACCGAAAGTACCGAAAATAAAAGTGCTCTGAAAATTTGTGAAATTACAGTATTCATGTCAGGCGTGGGATTTTATTTCACCAAGATCAACAGGGCACCACAATCCTCGTGTGATGCACAAGTACATGCAGTTCCCTTGTTTCCCTGTCACGCATGTCGGTGGTACGTCGCTGCTGAGCTCACCAAAGAACTTGAAAGAAGTCTCACAGTGCATCCATGATCCTGCATTACAAACTCTTTGGTTGCAGACTTGCAGTCCAAGCACACTGATCTGTGGTAGTGCTTACTGCAGAGTGGGCCAGCAGCTGGTCAACAACTTGCTACAGCCAGCCGCAACCAATCACCCCCCCCCCCCCCCCCCCACACACACACAAGAGTAATCTGTACTCGTGAAGGCAACACAAAGCTGTGTACAAATGCTCATGCATGATCGCTAGCAAAGACATGAAGCAGAGCAAACGGGATAACAAGTTAGGCCCAAATTATCAGACACCAGCAGTTGCACACGCATCTCAAGACAGATACCACCAGCGGACAATGAAACTCACCTCTTCCTGAACTTCGTGCAGTCTCTCCTGGAGATCTGAGTGGAAAACAGGAAACGGCAAGTATACAAAACCAAAGGTCAGCTGAACAGCTGAACACGTGAACAGAGTCGTAGACTTGCACTGGGTAGTCACTGTGTGACATAATAAATCATGTGATTGAGTTGAAGACCAGGACATCGTCACTATGATCAGGGCTCAGTCACAGTAGGGAGCAGGATGCTACAAAAGTATAGTCACACGTTCTACCGGATACCCCACTGCCCAAAAGGTGTCCCCCACTGCCCAAAAAGGAGCCCCCTACCCACACACAGTCTATAAAGTTAGTATAAACAGAGATGATTTTTGTACCTACCGTATTTCTGCTTCTGCTCGTCCTTCTTGCGCTTGTTGAACTCAAAGCGCTTTTTCACCTGGTCCACGGTAGAGCGCTCCACGCGCATCGACATTCCCAAATTGCGTTGATCTGTAATGTCATAGCAACAGCAAAAGAGCTTTTTTCAAGGACGCGGTGCCGGGCCTGTCAGCGGCGCTCACACCGAGATAGTGACAAACAGGTCGCATGTGAAAATGCATGTGAAAAGTATACGAAATGTGACAGGTTTGTCTCCACCAGCGCTTGAAGAGATTTCGAAGCTTGTTCTTTTTCGCCCAAGCCATGGAAGGGCTTCCCGGCAGCTGCCCTGAGTCCACACAAGTGTCGGACTTGAAGTTGCGCGCCATCCTAGTGCTTCTTTCACCTCCACGTGTCCATTCTCATAAAAACTGAATGTGACCTGGGCTTCGCCTGTTCACCAGCGATTCAAAAATTTCTCGCACGTGATCCCGAAATGTGACCGTTGGTCCGTCCTTGAAAAAGCTCTATAGCAACACAAGTACTGCATTCATGACCTGCGGACGCTACTGTGTTATCCTTGGTGGACTCACCACTGCACAGTGGAGATACAGGTGGAATCCTGATACAGTCAGACCTCGCTTATCCGGTCCTCGTTTATCCGGATCCCTCGCCATCCGGAAGAAAATCGCTGGTTACCGATGTGCAGCATATGTTATGCATACAACATAACCGGACCTCGCGATCCGCATACCGGTGCATGATTTTGTGTACAAACTGGTTAAAATGTGTACAAAAAGCTTCGTCGTATCCGGTTGCATGTGGCTTCCAGAAGCTAGAATCAGGGAGTTGTACAGGCAAATGAGGTCCTTGACCTGCTGGGTGCATGTGGGCAGGACTTAGTTGCATGCACTTGTCATTTTTCTGGCTTGTTTTACATACTGTGCACGATAGTTGTACTGCATAGGACCCGTCTACATGTATGTACGATGTCACTGCTTATGACATGCCACATGCGTATACAGTATGTGTGTTCAGTTATCCGGTTCCCTCGCCTATCCGGATATTTTTGTGGAAAACAGATGTGTGCGGTTAAGCGAGGTCTGACTGTAATTCGAATAAACCGCTCAATTAGAAGTTTCTTCCAGGACCGATTTCTATTCATTACAATTCCCACATAACAATATCTGATTATTCGAACATCGAACTGGGCATGTGCAGATAATTAGAAGTCCCACAGAATCCACGCACATACTACATAGACAATGCGGGGGATTTGTGCTGATAGTTCGAAGATAACAAAGCATAATTCGAAGTTCACTGTACATTAAACAAGTCAGTTCAGTGTGCACAAGCAGGCTGTACTGGCCAGTTCAGTGTGCACAAGCAGGCTGTACTGGCCAGTTCAGTGTCCGCAAAATCTGTGCCTACGGTGCATAGCGTAACTCTGCGTGACAATGCGGGCATTTCGACATACATAAGGGGCCATCCGGCATTATCAATAATTTTCACGGAACGAAAAAGTTTAGTTATGACCCTCCCCCACCCACCCACCCTCTTCAATGAAAAATATATTGACTTGACAGCTAGAATCAAGAGTACATACCCCCCCCCCCCCCCCCCCCCCCCAGAGTGTGCAACTCCACTATGGGTGCTGTCCCGACAGAATTTCAAGTTGACGTCATTTTGATGATGCAATGCGCACTGTACACGGATTATCAGACGAATCCGGAACCTGTGGTTGACCGAAGCCGATCAATCCTGTACAAATTATTGCAAAGAAAAACGTGTGATGCGTTGACACCCGTACACATGTTGTAAATCACTGGTGCAAGGAGCATTGCGTCATAAATAGTGACGTCAACTTGAAATTCTGTCGGGACAACAGGGTATGTGGGAGTTGCACACTCTGGGGGATTATGTACTCTTGCTAGAATGGATTGATGGTTCAGCTATCAATAATTTTCAAAACAAAACTCTCCTCAACCCACCCGCCCATAAACGAAACTTTTTCTCTTCGTGAAAAAGATCGATACTTACGGACGGCCCCTAACGTGTTGTGGGTACATGTTTGGATAATTAGAAGCTTTTCGGGGGGTTCGAATTATCAGGATTCCACCTGCACTAGCATGCATGCGGACCATGACACGAGATACACAGCCCACAACGAAGAACTCACGCTTCTTGCCGTTAATGTGATCCAAGAAGTTGATTGAGTCCCTGACGGTGCAATCGCACACATTGCAGTAGTACCTGCGTGGCAACAGAATGGAGAAATAGGCAATCGCAAACACATCAGCGAACAACCTCTCTGGGTGCTCCAATGAGCCATTGATAGCTAGTTGATGTAGTCTAGTCCGTTGCCACGTGAGTATCGACCTTCTATACTTGGATGCGCACGCATGTACAAGAACAAGTACAGTAAGAGACATCTGAAGAAAGGATCACATCAGCGGTCTGCTCTACTTACACAGAGCACTGCCAAACACTGACACCACCATGAGGAGGATATCAGTGATCAAAACTGCACCAGTAACAGCAGCAGCAGCAGCTGTACCATCACGGCCAGCAGCAGCAGCACTACTAGCGGCAGCAGCAGCACCAACAGCACTACCAGCAACATCAGTACATGTATTAGCATCAGTAGTAACATCAGCACTAGCAGCAGCAGCTGTACCATCACGGCCATTTCCAGTATTTAGTACAAGATATTAGCACATGGACATGTACTGGGACACATACCCTCCAGTCTGTGATAGCGGTGTGGCCTTGGTGATGACAATTGACTTGTTCAACTTGGAGTCCAAGTCCACCTGGAAATGGAATGGACAAGAAAAATGTGTGCATGCATGCATGCGTGGATGCACACACACACACACACACACACAAACACACATGCACACACACACACACACACACACACACACACACACACACACGCATGCACGCAATAACAGACACGGTTAGTCCTTCAAGACAGTACTTCCTGCTGGCAACATCAAATTCGGAAAATAAAAGCACCCTGCTTGAAAAGACATATGCAGTAGGTCACACCAAGGGAAATCAGGGTTGTTCTGCTGAAAAAACCCACTCACGGTTATAGAGTGCTAATTTGTTTTCTCGCTTTGAATTTTTTTCCCGATCACGATAGATACTGGGTTCAACTGCTCCGTGCCAGATACCAGGGGACGAAATGCCGCCGCGACGCAAGACAGTCTTCAAACTGAACACAAAGCTATGGTCTTGATTGTGCCAATGTATTTCACTACGTTCATTACACTGGTACTGCAAATCGAGAAGATTTTGACAACTAGACCATAGCTTAATGGTACAGCATCAAGGGCCTGTTCATTTCCTCAAAAATTATGAAATCTGTGTTCTCTTTCGTTTCATTTTGTACATTTCATATGCCGCGAATGCAATTCATTTGAATTTCACTTTCCGCACGAGACCGAGTCAAATTGAGTTTTCCGCATGCGTAGGAACACCAGCACAATCAATAGTGGGTTGTCTGAACATACCAACACATGGTGCATATGAATGGGATTGATGCGAAAATGTAGACACTTCACCGCATAGAAATACTGTTGATTTACCAGTACACTGTATTGGTACGGTAAACCGTGAAACGCCAGCGTCTGTTTATGTTCGCGATTTGCCAAATGTGCACGTGGAGATGTTTCCGATTGGAGCCTTTGCTTTGCGTTTACCTTTGCGATTTCACACCCAATGTGAAAACACAAAAGTTTCTAGATGTCAAAGTGTTCCCGATTTACAGTGCTCACATTGAACTGCAGAAGTAATAATACAGTCGTCCCTCTCTAATCCGGCACTTGTTTATCCGGAACCCTTGCCAACCGGCGCACTTTCTGACGAAACCGATTTTTTTTCGTTCAATTCCTACATCTTAATCCGGCACTTGAATTCCGCCTCCGGCAGTGACTTTTTGAAACAAATCGCTCAAACTGCACTTAGTTTGATTTCATAATCCGGCAGTCGTAAATCGCGTACCGTACAGGTGCACTCCTTGCCAGGCCAGGCTAGGCCAGTCTAGTCAGTGCCGCGCGCGCGGGGCCACTTCAGAATTCAGTTCAGTTGACAACAGTACTCTCGACCTCGCGCGGGAGAGTTCAGTTCGGTTGGTTATTAGGACTTTTCCGAACCTTAACTCAATTTATACAAAGAGAAAGACCAAGGAACTACAAGTTACGCTATACTGTCCACTAACACCACCAGTTACTAAACAATCAGCTCATGCGATAACATTGCACGACACTGACCGACGGTACTGACGTTCTACAACTAACTACAACGTTCGACCTGCACGATGTCGACTGCTTCGCGTGGCCTTCTCAAGAGGGTCAATGTTGTCCAGGAGACAACGGCTAAGCAGTCAACCATACTTTCTTATTTTAGCAAGGAGTAGTGTCCTGCCAATTTTCAGGTGTGTGTGCGTGTGTGTGCAAGAGTACATGTGAACATGTTCTCTGTTTTGCTTTATCACTTTATCACTGTGTATATTCCTGGAGAACAGTTGAGAATATGAAGCCGTGCACCAAATACTTGGGTCGACACGGAAAACCCTGCGTTTTGACGTATGATACATGCATGCAATTGGGTAGGGCCGGGTCAGAGGGCAGGATTTCTTAATCCAGCACCCTCGTTAATCCAGCAGAAAACGCCGTAGCAAAAGGTGCCGGATTAGAGAGGGACGACTGTAATAAGATTGATTATACCTATCAAGAGCCTATAATTATAGTCATCTACCCACCTCATAATCTCGTCGTTTGAGCAGCTCTCTCTTGACGGGGGGCTTCTTCTTTGGTGGCTCAAGGTCTGCAGCAGCAACAGTTTAATTAACAGAGAAAACATATAAGGAGTCCAAATACTTTAAAAACAGTTGTAGTAAAAGAGGGAGGGAAAGGGAGAGAGAGAGAGAGAGAGAGAGAGAGAGAGAGAGAGAGAGAGAGAGAGAGAGAGAGAGAGAGAGAGAGAGAGAGAGAGAGAGAGAGAGAGAGAGAGAGAGAGAGAAAGGGAGAGAGAGAGACACACACACACACACATTGCATTGGACGATGCAAATGCCGTAAGCTCAGAAGTCATGGACACTACATGGTACAGGACACACAAAAACTCCCTAGGACCTGTCACCATCAGGGTTGAACTTGAAGCCAGCTTGAAACTAAAGAGGGGCGGCTGGGAAAGTTGGTGCATAGTTACAAATTTGCATCGCTCTCCACAAATGGAGTAGAGCATGGCAATGTAGCCTTTGCAGACCTATTGCCACTTTTCCTGACGTGTAGCAGTGAACCAGCACAGTGCTCTCCCCTTTTAGTGCCTACATACACGCAATGTATTCTGCATTAATGTCACGCCATGTCCAGCTATGCATGGTACAATGGCACTGTTGGTTTTGAAAGGGAGCCGGCAAAACTGGAAGGGGGAGTGCACAGCGATACACTACGCTTCTCCGGCTACGTACAAGGATAACCACCACATTCCGAACACAGTGCAGAAATGAATTGCTGTTCTTCACTTTTCACAGTCTGAGCATTTTATACAGGAGGATGCATGCAGCGTGCTAGGAGTGCTTGGATGTCTGATGATTGCGCAGAGTGTGTAACTCAGAGTCGCAACAAATTACAGTACTGTCGGCTACCCAAGAGCTGGGTCACAGCCTAGGCCGTTTTAATTTGTTCATGTGCTATATATAGTCTATGCACAGTTGAGCCACCGCGTATTATATCTAGGTACGGTATGCTGGGTGAGATCCTACCAAGCCTATTTGCTCTTCGGTGCCCGGCAGTTCTGTAGCATTGCTCCACTGTTGGACGATGAAGTCTGCGCAGCTGTATTCGAAACAGTTGCTAGGGAGCCTCCTAAGACGTGGGGAAGATTCCACGAAGCATGTTGGATGGGCTGGGAGAGGGCATGCCTCGTATCGTATTCAGCGATACCGACCGGATGAAATACTTGCGGCTCGGTATGTAAAAACACAAACCCAAGCCTTCGTCCGATGTTCGCGCCAAGGGTGCTGGAGACCCGGGTGAACTTGTAAAGAGCTACATGTGCGAAACTGACTCTGGCCATAATAGCAAATACGATTCTTGAGACCAGATCTTCTTATGTCAAGTCATGCCTGATCAATGGACCTCTCTCTCTCCCCCCCCCCCCCCCCCCCCCATCCAACCGTCGCCACGGGATGGTTCCACATGACTTGTATCAAGAGTCCATAGCCATAATTATATTTGGGTCATGGACTCTTGCCAATACATGTACGTATCGCAGTGCTGAAAAGTTATAAAGATCTAATCATTGCCCTTTACGCAATAACCTAATTCATGAGCTTTAAGTGAACATGGTAATCTCGTGATGATAGAGAACAATAATTAATAGCGTATTGTCAAGCAGTGGAAAGGCTAGAGAAGATTTTAGAACCTCCCGTTCGAGTCAGGGTTGCAAACAACTCACCGTCATCGTCTAGATCATCAGCACGGTCTTGGGCACGCTTGGCGAACTCTTCTTTGTCCCATGTTCGCCTAAACGAATTAGGATCAGCAGACTGTAGAGACAAATTGAGAAAACTCAGTGGCGCTGCGCTGATGCGTTGACCATCACACTCTCATTCTGGGACATACCTTGGCCATTCTTGCCTTCAAACGCAGCAGCGGGGTTAGATTTACAGTCACCAATCCACACTATCGATCAGAACGAGGCTGAAAGGAAATTGTGTTTGCACGATTATTCAATGGGCATGGGTCGGAGAAGAATCAAAAAAGGGAAGCATCAAAAAAACAGTTGAGCTGCCGCGCCGCCGTGGCTGCATACAAAACAAGAGTCATGACGTCCAGAACAAGAACCAGAAATGCATCAGGGAGTAGTAAAATACTACTCCCTGGCTTCATCACAGATCACAGATGTGATGAACCCAGGCCAGGGAGTAGGCCGTAGACGTAGTACAGGGAGTACTAAAAGAACATAAAAAGAGTACTGAAAACGGTTTTAGTACTTCCCGAAAGAAAGTACAACAAGAAACCATGTTTTTCGATTTTGACAGCATGTTACAAGGCGAGGCCGAGGACGCGTACTACTGCGTAGTGCTCCTGACTACAACCATAAACCGGTTGTCGCGTCCTCGCCTTGTAACATGCTGTCAAAATCGAAAAACATGTTAAACTACCAAGCAAGGCTTCTGTATATAACAAGAAACCATGCAGTTCCGGGAATTCCTGGTTCAGACTTCACTTCACATAAAAATAACTAAATAGTGCAATGGGTAAAGACAGGACTGGCATTTTTTCTACTACACTGCTGACCAGGGAGCCGTCAAATATATTGGTATTTGACGACTCCCTGCTGTCGACTATCATGTCCAGCATTGGCCGGATTTTTTTGGCGAATAGCACTCCCCGGTTACCATGTACAATTGTACATCCAGGGGGTGGGGCGTACACGACCGACCGAGTTCTATCGATAATTTATATCCCCGGTTTCATCAAGGGGAAAAGCACAGGCGTGCATGCCTACCTACACCTATGCTAGTATGGCCTGGCCTAACCTGCTGTATACAGGGTGACCATGCCCATTCATTGCCGCATGATTGTGTTATCTGTTGATGATTTATTCAATAATAAAATACTGAATAAAATCATCAACAGACTACTAGGCGGCGTTCGTTTTTGATCTACAGGTTTGGGTAGAAACTGTACTTCTTACGGTAGAGGTGTTCGTTTTTTGAAAAAAAATTCTACTCAAAAGGGTAGATTCTACTTTCCTCTACCGGCTCTACCGGGAAAAAGTTGGTAGAATCCGGTAGAGCTACGGGATTTCCAGCAAGATCAAGGATTTGTACACAACTCCATAAAAAAAAGAAACATTTCACGTACACATCGTGTAAACTACTAGATCTGGTAGAACAGCGTTCGTACACTTGCCTCTACCATCTACCTCTATCGGTAGAGTGACTCTACTCTACTCTACCAGGTAGCTAAAAACGAACGCAGCCCTAGTCTTGAACCTACACATTTTTGCAGGAAGTTTGTGTAAGTGAGTCGTATTTTACAACTCCCTACAATAAATACCAGTATGTAGGTTTGCTTGCACATGCACACGTCCAGTATCTTTGTTTCGAATATGCAACCTGCGTGATTGCAAAACCTGAGTGTGCACACGCATTGGCGATCACGTTGAGCTTCGCGCCGTTACATTTTTGGGGTTTGGACCCATTTGGACCACATGATTGAGTCATGTTCACACTAGGAAGTCGTATACTGTAGGTAGTATAGGCATGTAATGACCAAACATCATCGGACATGGCTGCATGACTTTCCGATTTCACTCTAACTTGGTGCTGCTCAACGAAATCTGGCCTTGTGAGCAGTTTGCGCCGGGCACTAGCTTACTCATGAGGCAGGGTTTGCACGCCCACTGCAGCAAGCCCCATGCCTACACAGTAACAAAAGAGTGGCATGGGGTTAGAGTGTTGTTGTTCTGACCAAAGTCCGACTCTTGCACGTTAAAATAGAGACAGACGGAGAGAAAAGAAAACATAACACGGTGGCGATGTGCAACGAAGAGAATACTCAGACTTTTCTATGATAAGCAAAGGCAGAGGCTTTTCGTGCTGGTGTAGTATCCCTGCCTTGCTAGTACTATGTAATATCTACTGACCTCTAATCATGTCACATGTACACGTACACGCACTGCATGACTCTTGTCACTCCTTTGCTGACAAGCCTGCAAAGCTAATAATTATTATTATAATCACTTCTCACCACTTGTGTTTCCCTTGCGCTTGCTGGATTGCATACTACATATCTTTGCTAGTTTAGATCATCACACCTATATTATGTACATGTAGAACTAACACCCACATGGTGTACTGTACCTCCCTGACCCTGACTGAGGTCATGAGCACAGACATGCCCCTTTCTAAATCCGGTTTGCATCCATTTGCTAATGCCCTCCCTGGCCTCTGTTCCCCTCCAAAGTTCCGTTTGCTTCTTTCATCCTTATACATTTAGATACTGTTGCTATGCCTTCCCAAGTTCTGTTTGGACTGACACAACAGACTTTTGCCCTTTTTCATGACTCATGGCTCATGCAGACGCTATGATGATCTCCTTCCTTTTCGCCCTATAAAAGCTGCCATGCTTTACTCATTTCTTCAGAGCAGAGCAGAACATAAGAGAACAGAACAGAGTCCCTCCTGGCAGATTGAGCCGGAGCAGTTGTATTCCTTTCCGAGTCCCTCCAGGCAGATTGAGCCGGAGCAGTTGTATACATAACTTCAGGCAGATTGAGCCGAATAACATAATATTAGTCAGTCTTCTTGTGTGTGCCTCCTGATACCACTCGGCGACCTATTACACTGGTGGCAGCGGTGGTTCAATTTTATAATTGCTAGATTCGAACCCACCTAGTATCTGTATTACACTGGTGGCAGCGGTGGTTAAAGTTAACGACGTTCCTTTGTAAGATTCGAACCTACCTATTACACTGGTGGCAGCGGTGGTTCAATTTTATAATTGCTAGATTCGAACCAACCTAGTATCTGTATTACACTGGTGGCAGCGGTGGTTAAAGTTAACGACGTTCCTTTGTAAGATTCGAACCTACCTATTACACTGGTGGCAGGCGTGGTTAAAGTTGTCCTTAGTCAATCGTTGTCGTCAGTTTCGTTATAAGTACCTATTACATTGATGGCAGCCTCGAACGATGAGCGGAAAGCACCGTTAATTGGCCCCCACCGCGGTTCTGAACCCATGACGATCTGACAACGATGCAGAATCTCGGTTCGCCAGTCCATCCGAACAGCAGATCGACGCTGCGACGCCCGCGTTCCGGCAAAGTGGATCACCATACTTCTCCAGCGAGCTCTCATGCCCTCCGGCATGTCCCTGTAGTACTACCGGTATATATACGACCCAAGCGACGTCGGCCCTTTCGTCTCCGTCCCTATTGCCGATCCTGCAAGAAAATTGGCCATGACATAGCGTATTGCTATCGTCCTCGCGCGACACGACCCATCTTCACTTCAACCCAGGTATGTCACCCTACTTGCTGTATCGCAACTCTATCGCCAACCCTTTCAAATGCACCTGTTACTAACGTGAGTACATATGCCACCCCTACCATGCAAGCTCCGCCATCCCGTGATTGTTTCCATTCTGTGATCATGATCATTGCTGCCATATTCCTCTCACTAACTCGTTCTGCTGCCAAAGTTGTTCCCCTGCTAACATCTCTCACCTTTAGTTTGATTGCTACACTACACGCGATACACAAGGCCCTCCACGTCCCTTCAGCAAATCCATCCCATAGACAATCCCACTCCCAGTCCCCGCCCCACCATTCGATCAACAACCTAGGACTCACAACCCTCCATGTACCTTCATGTACGTCCAGATACATGCAGTACACAGTTCTAGATCACCCAACATTTCGCCACACTGCAGCTTCCGTACAACCGCTTTCTCAAGGTTTTGATCACAAAGTTTCCTAGCCTTTTCATCACCCATCCCGATCATGTCCACCCCGTAACGACCAAGCAATCAGTTCAGACCCAAAATACTGTATACCCTGCAAGCACGCACTCAAATAACCAGTCCATGTAACATGATATACCGCCACATGATGCGCGAGTCTACTTTTCCCGTTGTACCGTCCCAGAGAGACGCGAATGAAGAACTGTTACCGTCCACAGTGACGCGATTTTACACATCCTTTTTTTACCGTCCGAAATTTTTCCCGCTCCACAGAGAGACAGGTCCTTCACACATTATACACACAGGGTCCCTACTTTATTATCAGTCTACCAAGCCTTGTTTAATACTTTGGAAAAATCACGAGGGCGTGATTATCTGTAGGAAGGGAGGGTGTAGTATCCCTGCCTTGCTAGTACTATGTAATATCTACTGACCTCTAATCATGTCACATGTACACGTACACGCACTGCATGACTCTTGTCACTCCTTTGCTGACAAGCCTGCAAAGCTAATTATTATAATCACTTCTCACCACTTGTGTTTCCCTTGCGCTTGCTGGATTGCATACTACATATCTTTGCTAGTTTAGATCATCACACCTATATTATGTACATGTAGAACTAACACCCACATGGTGTACTGTACCTCCCTGACCCTGACTGAGGTCATGAGCACAGACATGCCCCTTTCTAAATCCGGTTTGCATCCATTTGCTAATGCCCTCCCTGGCCTCTGTTCCCCTCCAAAGTTCCGTTTGCTTCTTTCATCCTTATACATTTAGATACTGTTGCTATGCCTTCCCAAGTTCTGTTTGGACTGACACAACAGACTTTTGCCCTTTTTCATGACTCATGGCTCATGCAGACGCTATGATGATCTCCTTCCTTTTCGCCCTATAAAAGCTGCCATGCTTTACTCATTTCTTCAGAGCAGAGCAGAACATAAGAGAACAGAACAGAGTCCCTCCTGGCAGATTGAGCCGGAGCAGTTGTATTCCTTTCCGAGTCCCTCCAGGCAGATTGAGCCGGAGCAGTTGTATACATAACTTCAGGCAGATTGAGCCGAATAACATAATATTAGTCAGTCTTCTTGTGTGTGCCTCCTGATACCACTCGGCGACCTATTACACTGTAACGACTGCAAGGAAAGCGGGACACTTTTGGCATAATCTTTTCAAGGAACTCAACATTATCAAGGCTTCGCCACAATCGTAAATATGTTTACACCAGGAAAGCAAATAAGTTACTAAATCAACAAAATAAATCAAGTGTCTTGGGGGGGGGGGGGGGGGGGTTCTCTCTCACGATGAATAGATTGCATCACTAATGCCGGTAAAATAGACCAGCAGCAATTCGCAACATGCGAGATTAAATTAAAGGGGAAATGATAAATTTGATTAACAGCACATAGCACTGGTGGCAGCTGCTAGCCAGAGCAATGGTACAGGCACACTGACACCACGGTGTCATCCTAGAGTTTGTCAGTGCCATTCAAAAGCCAGAACAGCAGTACCTTCAGGTCCGGACTGCCTTCAAGATACGCTGACAATCCGCCTGAGCACAGAGCACATGGAACAGCAATGTTAACAAATATAGAACGACAAAGATCGCAAACTACTGCATGCATATCTCTCTCTCTCTCTCTCTCTCTCTCTCTCTCTCTCTCTCTCTCTCTCTCTCTCTCTCTCTCTCTCTCTCTCTCTCTCTCTCTCGGTGATTGCCTGTACAAGGGGCCTTCAAAAAACAGAAACAACCAAAACAGGTGCTTACTTTCACTCAAGTCGTGACTCTGCGACATCTTGTACAAGAACTTCTCGACGCTGTCCTTGCTAACATTGGAGTGGCCATGACGCTGCATGTAATCAAACATACTGCTGGCAGATAGCTTGTTGCCACCACCACTGAGAGCCTGCAGCACACCGAGTTCAAAGGCAGAGAATAAACACAGACGCTAAGGAAAATACAAGCCACAATGAAATGCAGAACACTGCAAACCAATGGAACATGAAACAGATGCGCAAGGACCTGTGACAAGCTCAGACTGCTTCAAAGTACATGCAGTATTCCGCCAGCCTGATGCAACTTTCAGCTGATCACCCACAGTCAATCATGCTCACATACAGCAGTCACACACACACACACATGCATGCATGCACGCACACACAACCGACAGCCAGAAACGTCTAGCTTATCGCTGATCCAGTTGCAGATTGAGACAGCATGCACCCACCCCCACACAGCAGTCAATCTCGGACCAAGCATGCTTTCATGGAGGTATGCAAACCTCATACTGCTTGTGGTGATCTTTCCGACTAGCAAAATCTAACTCAGCAAGTTCCAAAATGGCGCATGAACATAAATTCAAAAAATCCCCATAGCTACATGCAGTAGGTAAAAAAATATGCATACACAAATTCAAACGTAATAATATACATGTAGCAAGTATGAGTGAATGGATGTGTATCAGTCCTACAAGGTCAACGTGACGGCCAAACAAAGAACAGCCTCTCTTCGTGCTGAAACACGTGAGCTGAGATTGATAGCCGCCATTTTAACGGGAAGTGCTACACCACGGAAACACTGTCAACACAGAAGAGCGGAACGCCTGACAAGACCACAACACATACCTTGTATGCTTGCGAGGCGATGCTGTCGCCGCCTGGCACTTTCATAACTAGATCAAATGTGCCAACAGCGTACTCTCGGAAGCGCAGTCTACCATTGTCTGAACACTGGAGAGTGAAAACAGTTAAAAGAAAGGACACAATCGGCGACAGATACAAGTTCACAATAAAACAGCAGCCAGACTGAAGCAAGCGCTGGGCTTCCATTGGCGCTATCGTTGTTTCCAGCAGCGGTTGATAACAGTGGAGGCTCTTGCTCACATCTGACTACAAGACTAGTCATTATACGACACTTTGCAGACACCGGCACTACATTCCACCACCACCACCGGCAGCAGCAGCACTCACTACACGAGTACACGGCAGCAATCAACTGGTGGTGGTGGGAGACATTACGGATAGCAGACTTACTGTGTCATACTCAGTAAAGAGGAGCTGAGCATGATCCTGGACGGGCCATTGCAGATAGGACAGGAACTCTTCACAGCTCACCACACCACTCTTGCTCGTGTTCATACTAATGAAGCGCTCAACGATGACCTTCAGGTCAGACAGACGCACACTACAGCAGCAGCAACATCAAAACACACACATGCAACAACAGGAACCGAGCAGCGGAAACAAAAAGCACTTACAAATAAGTGAGGGCCCAACTGAACTACAAGAGGTCACAGTATTGGTATATACTGCCTGATACTTGCAACCTGCGAGTCAGTACAGTTCCAAAAGGACTGATGCAGACGGCAAAATTGCCAGTACCAAAACAGGGAGTCATCTAAACCTCGAGTGACTCCCGAACTACAACAAAGTCTGATTTTCCCAATAGGGAGAGTTTTGCACATCGCATCACGGTTCTGCCTCTGCACCTTGTGATGGAGCAGAACTCGAAGCATGAATGGCACGTATTCATCTAAAATGGCGGACGCCCACGCTGCATACATGGTATGGGCGCACGTGAGCCACGCTGGGGGGACCAGTGTTGCCACATCATTCTAGCCAAATATCAGTAGCATGAAAAAATAAAATGCATCATCCGGGGGCGAAGCCCCCCGCACCCCCCTCCCCCCTCCCCTATATAGCGACCTCGATACACACACAAGCGGCACTGATAAGAAAAAAACATTTCACGGTTTTGCGTGACACTCAGGCTGAGTTTGCCGATTTTTCCCTGAGACGGATGATGATTTCGCTTAGGCGAGACCAAAAAAAAATAGAGATTCCCGGGCCCTCCCGCACCAAAATCGAGCCAAAGCCAATTTTTTTTTTAACAGTTCATACATGACTGTACATGTAGAGTACTGATGGTGTGAGTAGATCTGTGTCGTGGAGTCACACAAACCCGAGCTTGTACGACTCCCTGATGAACAGATCAGGGACATCGTTGGCCGAAATATAGAAAAACTGAACGGGGAAAACTGCGTACCTGTTGTCTGTAAAAAAATTGAATAAAAATTACCGGAAAATGCGGTAAAAAAAGTTCAACATGGTACAGTGCTGTATGCACACATATAGTCATGTACATGTACATACATGGGAAAAAATAAAAAAATAAAATTCGCCCGCCCGCACCAATTTCACATGGGTCCTGCCCGGGAATCTCGATTTTATTTTGGTCTCGCCTTAGCGCTTCAGGAGAAAGCTATGGAAACACTCGTGATGCGCAATAAAAGTCAAAAATCTGGATCACTAGTCATTCACGACTCCTAAACCATGCATAAGGTCAAACTTGAACACTTTCATGGCTGTTGTCGGCAGGAGAAGGTCAATTGTCGGCAGGTCGTGACATGCCTCAAAAATCGGCAGGCTACTGACATGTCGGCAGGTGTGGCAACACAGGGGGACACTTGTTCGATTCCGCATACAAATGCGTGGAAAAGAAGTTTCTCTAATCGCTGGAACTTGTGAGTTTCTTTCGATATAGACTACTGGTCTTCAAGGTATACAATAGTAGTGACCCAACGAAGTGGAATTTGCGGAATACAACGTTCGAGACGGCTCAACAAGTCAAGAGTAAAGTGCGAATTTACTATGTACGCAAATGAGAAAACCTACTTGTTTCCCCGCAGCGCTAGTCACGTGCGCCTTCAGTGAATACGTGCCATTGTACTTCAGAAGAAGTACATCGCAGTCACATTCCTGCCACAAATAACGTTGCAGGCAGTGATATTGTAAATGCTCATTCGGAACTCACCCTGGTCACCCTGCTAAACAAGGTCACATCTACTAATCATACAAGTCAAATACCAAATGCACAATTCACAATGTGCACGCACGCATGCACACCCACCCACCCACACACCCACATACACACAGACACGCACACACACACACACACAGGCACACACACACACGTGAAACTTGACGCACAAACACAATGCTAACTCACTTGAACACTCTGCTCATCATATTGTACTCAACCAGCCCGGCATCGTTAGGCAAGCCAGCATCAAAACACCACTGCACCAGGCGAAGGTCCTCCAAAGCATAGTCGGTCTTTGGCTTGTCCAATTCTCTACACACACGGCAGATGGACACCACAGGGACACATGTGACAGTTCAATGATACAACTACCTGCACATGTAGAACATAACATGACTTCTCCTAATCGTCGCAGGCAAAGACGTCGTTCTAGCCTGCGCAACGAAATAAAATTTGAAATTTAAAATTCCCACGTCTATGGCCATGCAAAGTACAGGAAACAGGACCGAGCCGCGGCTGCGGTGAGTAGTTTTTGATGAAGCCGAGCGACGCGAAAGCTGGTGGTGACCCGCGACCTCGCTGCACCAGCTCGAGCCGCAGTCACTATGGTAATGATGACGTTTCATCTCGCACCGTGACGTGCTGCGGAGCCGCAGTGGAACCCGGCCCTTAGTTAAAAAGAAGAAAGAAGGTTTCTTACAATGGAACTTCTATTCACTTTCACTGGTTCTGAGAAATCACGAACATTTCGTGATATGAGTATTGGCTGGTCCACAGTATAAGCAGTACTAACAAGTAATAGGCAATCGCGAGCATAGAAATAATCATATCGGAAAGCTTACTTTGCTACCACATCACGGACGTTCATTGCGTAGAGTTGGGCGTCTTTCTTCTCCTCTTCTGACGGATTGTAAGGAGGTAAATACTAGCAGTACAGGAGAAGAGCACATCACGGACAAGGAAAACAAGACAATGAACTGAGAGAGGGGACAACCTTGAGAACAATAAATTTGAATAAAACATTACACAAGCCACGCTAGGACTCTGACGGGACAAGACACGCTAAGAATGAATACAGTCATGTACATGTACTGCTGAGGAAGTATACGTTTGCGCACCAAAGTAAGAGTGGTGCAAGCCTGCATAAACATAATAATGAACATTTAGACACCCCAACACACCCCAAACACACATATACACACACAGACAAGGAGTTGGAGCTTGTTCTTTTTACCTCAACTTCAAGATCGTTACTCCATTTACACATGACCAGTAGCAGCGTCATAGGCCTGAAGGCACACACAGACACAGACACACACACATTTGCTTCGTGAAAACAGCATGCAAGGGCACGCCACTGTATCTGGAGGAACGCAGCTTTTTTTCTGTCTTCCGAACCGCACAATGTCCTGACACGATACAGAGGCATGCTGTTGTATGCATGTATGCACATCGTAATAGCGCAAAATGAAGATAAAACACATGGTCATGCTATGAAACAGTGAATAGAACTATCTGCGTGCTGTCACCAGTATCGGCGTGAAGGACTTGTAAGAGCACAACTTACACGGAGACGGGGACAAAAAGAAAACAGAAAGCAGCCAAACTACACTTGAAGGCAAAGGCAATGTCAGCGTTGCCAGATTTAGGCAGGAGGAGAAGCCGAAGCAATTGATAACAGCACCATGTCGGTAATAGTCTTGATCTAGCACAGTGTAGCAGGGTGGTGCAAGTGTTAATTCATTCATTTATTCAGAGACTTCATCTTTGAAGGATTCTCCCAAGGTAATAATTCTTTGTTGCCATCTTCAATAGGTCCGTCAAATAGTAGTAATAGGTTTTTCATTTGACCCGACGAGACCACACAACGCTTGCAGACCACAGCACGAATAGTTCACCAGCCACACTCCACGAAAGCAAGTAGTATTACCCCTGACAAGTCTTGTTTCGTTCCATAAAGTTCTCCCAAAGTAAATGGATAACTATCAGGGGAGTTTCCTGGAAGGGTGGATGAGATGAAAGGGAAGTGAAAAGGGGTCAAGGAAATAGGCCTAAGTACATGATACTTACAGCGAATGTCCAAAGTGACTCCAGATGCCAATGGCCTGCAGACAGAAGAGAGCAGTCAAGCAACACATGCCAGTGTGTGAACAACTGGATAAGCAGGCATGCAGACGCAGCAAATCACCACCCACACTGAAGATGCACCAAACAAGGTGAGAGCAAGTGAAAATTACGGTGAGCGTGAGTGAGTGCATGAGAGGAACGGAGGGAGTGACTGAGAGAGAGAGAGAGAGAGAGAGAGAGAGAGAGAGAGAGAGAGAGAGAGAGAGAGAGAGAGAGAGAGAGAGAAAGAGAGAGAGAGACACACACACACACACAAACAATACTTTTTGTCTTGTACTTACTCACTGCCTAAACTGGTCATGTGGGTCTCCCCGGAAGATTCGAAAGAAAGATTCGAAAGGAATCTTGGAAAGATGACTGAATTGGAAATCGAACCGCCCAACGGGCGACATCCCCCCCCCCCCCCCCCCCCCCCCTCTGAAATCCCCAAACTCTAGGTGGACTTGGAAAGGATTCCACTTATGGGCTCACCACACCTCAGCAAGTGGGTGAGGACAAGGTGCAAAAAATGGATTGACGGCATAAGGGTAACCGTCCCAGGATCCAACTGCATTTACACCTGCCCCCAACAAAGGCACTACTTGCTACTAGTAGGGGTGGCTAAACCAGAGTGGATCTGATATGCTTAACTAGCACCATTGATTACACATAACCTCTCTCTCTCTCTCTCTCTCTCTCTCTCTCTCTCTCTCTCTCTCTCTCTCTCTCTCTCTCTCTCTCTCTCTCTCTCTCTCTCTCTCTCTGTCTGTCTCTCCACATGTACACACACACACACACACACACACACACACACACACACACACACACACACACACACACACACACACACACCAGGCAGCATTGCACACTCACAGGCATGGCGTAGCGTAGCAGCACGGGCTGTACTGGAACACCAGGTCGGAATGCACCAGTCTTAAAGCCAATCACAGCCTCTGTATTATGCACAGTTCCTACAAACAAGGAAGACACGACAAAACGAGAAAATCACATACCGGTATGCTAGCTGCAACACTTCTGCTAGACTACGATGCTGCTGCATAATGAGGGTGTAATTACTACTTCACATAAAACAACGGTGTTGGACAACTATATGTAGTTGCCGTGGTTATATGGCTTGCATGCTGGATTCCTAGTTTACTGTGCTGCAGAGCGCCTACTTGTAATGTTCGCTATTCTTGCGAGAAGATGGGAAACGTTTGCGGAGCACTGCGGCCACACACATGCATGTACACCCACTGTATTTCACGAGAACATTTACCATTGCAAACTCGTTGGTTCTGAGAAATCGCGAAACTTTGTGCCGTGAATAGCAGGCGGTTTACAGATACATGTACAGGTGGAATCCTGATAATTCGAATATGGCTTAATTCGAACATACCGCTTAATTAGAAGTTTTTCCAGGATCGATTTCTGTCAATACGATTCCCACGTAATGTTTTCTGATACTTCGAACCTCGAACCAGACATGTCCGGTTAATTCGAAGTTCCACGGATTCCACTTTAAGTAATACATAGAAAATGTGTGGGATTTGTGCTGATAATTCGAAGATAGCAAAGTGTAATTCGAAGTTCACTGTACACTGTACTGGTCAGTACAGTTTGCATGAGCAGGCTGTGCTGGTCAGTTCAGTATCCGTGAAATCGGTGTCTAAGGTCCATAGCGCAACTCTGCGTGACCATGAGAGCATTTTGATTTACATATTGTGTTGTGGGTTCATGTTTGGATAATTAGAATGTCCGGCTAATTAGAAGTTTTTTCCTGGCATTTCGAGGTTCGAATTATCAGGATTCCACCTGTACTGAAAGGTAACAAAATACCCTGGCACAGGATACGGCAATTCAGATCAGCAAAACAAACAAAAGTAGATATAGCAATAGAGCTTGAAAGTGCTACGTCACAGCATAGCAACAATTTCAAAAATTCAAAAACTGGATCCACTTGGATCCAGTTTTTGTATGGATCCAAGCACATTTCAAGCAGTCTCACTCACAGCAAGGTGATGTAGCCAATGAAACTGACTGATTTGGCTACTGGGCGCGGGGTGACAACTGGTGGCGAAGTAAAAGTCACACCTGCATACGACATGAGTGGGTTGCTATGCACCCACATACTGAGGCAATAGCAAAGTCACACCTTAGTGGATCCAAAATAGAAATCTGATGTCAACTTACTACTCCCTGACCGTTCTTGACGTCATCACTTTCAAGCCCTATACACACAAACTCAAACTTCTGGATACTGAATTAGAAGAAGTATTCCTACCTTCAGGGAAGATGACAACTGGGATCCACTGGCCGGGAGAGGTGACGCGGCTGATGACTTCATCAACAACGCTTTTACCCTTGGCCGAAGTTCGGTCCACCCAGATTGGCTCGCAGGATTTCAAGCAAGCTGAACGAAATCGGCAGAAGCAGCAGACACACAAAGGAAGGCGTACTGGTGAGCGCATGGATAGCTCGTATATGTCGTGTCAGGAACACACAGAGTTTAGTAGGACTCAGCTGTCTAGCAAGATCAGTTGCAAAGAATCAGTACTGCCAACCTTCTTCCGTCCTTTCCCGTTTCGCTAGTTTACAGAAGCCCAGTTCGAATACCTTCCATGAATATTTCAACACGAATAGCAGTGGCTCAGGACATTAAAACAAACTCATTACACTCCTGCAATTGGTACGAGGCATGGGCAGAAGAAATTGGTTTCTAAACTCAATCTCAGATGTGGAGCCAAGCATTTAATTGAAGAGGGAAAGAACCAAAGTTTTCTCCTCATGCACTACTGTCCACCAATTTATTGCCAAGACACTGACGGGTCAGAAGGTGTGTCATTCGACACAATACCGACGACGGGTGATGAATTGATATTGACATTCAACAGACCAACACGTGGATCAATCATGTATTGGATGCACTGATCAATAGCCTAGTTCTAACCTTCAAGGTTGCCGGCTAAGGAATAGGACACATAAATGCAAAGTACACATGCTAAAAGGCTTACTTCCAAGAATTGGGAGGTTTTCATTTTCTCTCCGCGACATTGAAGAACCCCAGCAGAACAAGCTCAACATCCACGAGTCCATAACATGGGAGTGCGGAGTAATGATAACGATCGGTGCTTCCGAGAGCTTGGCGCGTTTTCCTTTTACCGTGATCGTGTAGTAGCCAAATACAAGGAAAGTCCAGGCACGGACAACTCGCGGCGTAATGCTCAGCATTAGGAATCTGCTCAGCCAAAAGACAAGAATGTGGACCAGCGAATGTTTCAGGACAGTGTTGACAGCCCAGGCCAAGTCTACCTACAAAGCAGTCAGACTGTTTTGACAGTCGGCACCCAGATGACTACAATTCCACAGGCGGCCACTGGATTTCAGCAGCATTAGGCGAAACATGGCACTTGAAATCATGCACAGTGCAGCATTCAACCTGCAAAACATCCCATTGAGCAAAAGCCTTCATACAGTCACTCATACAACAGATGGCGTGGAAGTAAAGCAGTACCGGTACAAAGGTACTCACTTTTGCCATGGCTTCAGATGCTGGCCAGTCTTCCAGCCCATACCACCCAGCCGGACACAGATAAGAACGATCGGAACGATGATGAAGCTCAACAATAATCGGATGGGGAACATGATGAGAGCTCCTGTCAGCAACTGCAGCCAACAATGCCAATACCACACAAGAGACACACTCTAGAAAACGTTGAGCCAGACATGCACCCACCCACCCACCCACCCACCCACCCACCCAACGCAGGCCAGGCAGCAGTAGTGCCCTGCAGATCCTCTCTGAAACCAGAAAGACCATGCACCGTCCAAACATTCAGGGCCAAAGAAATATGATAAAATCTCGAAACTTCGCCTCGAGGACTGAGTGTGCGACTTAAACCTTGGTTTATAGTCAGGGTAACGGCTTGATACCCAGTGCGACAGAGATCACACGGTGTTTAGAACTTCTACAGCGAACTGAAATGCTCTGAGGTCAAGACCCAACAAGAAATCGGCAGCCAGGCTGGTCGGTGTAAATAGACTATACAATGGCATCTATGCATAAAACATGGCTGTAGGCTTTTTGCGGGGAATGCACCACTGTACATGCATTGTTAGCATACTTGACACAAAGCCCGTGCTCCCGCCTGATTGGGCACGTCCTGGGTTGGAGATTTCTAGTTTGACCACCACTAGTACATACATACTTATTACAAACTTCCAGTGCATGCATAGCATACATGTTTCTTCCAGGACCCATTTCAGACACTACAATTCCCACATAAACAATGTCTGATAATTCGAACCTCAAACTGGGCATGTCCAGTTAAAATAAGAAGTCCCAAGAAAATCCACTTACATAGAAAATGTAAAAAGAACTAACTCTGCCGTCACCATCACTACTTACAAGTACCATTTTTGTTGCTTGCTTCTATCCGCATTTTGGAATGCATATTTAATCATTGTTTTTGCTTGGCTAGCGTTCAATTCAGTCACGATATTCCACTGATGATAGTGACACGAAAATCGATTATGGAAAACATTTGACTTCGTTGATACATAGAAAATGTGTGGGATTTATGCTGATAATTCAAAGTTAGCAGAGCGTAATTCGAAGTTCACTTTATATTATACAATGCAGTTCAGTGTGCATGCGCAGGCTGTCCTGTCCTGTTCAGTGTCTGTGAAATCGGTGTCTAAGATGCACCGCGCAACGTTGAGTGACAATGCAAGCATTTTGATATACATAATGTGATTTGCGCATTTGTTTGGATAAATTAGAATGTCCCGATAACTAGAAGTTTTCCCTGGTATATTGGGGTTCGAAATTTCTTCGAATTACTAGTACAGCTGTATCAGGATTCCACCTATACAATTTTTTTCTACATGACATTGTAATTGTTTACATTTCACAGTACAGTACTACAACATTGTACTGTTAATTTTAAAACATAAGACCATTTTAATGGAGGAAAATTACTCGCGTACTGTGTAGATCTATATAGTTGTAGTGACGGGCACACGTCCTACATCCCTGAATGAAAGAGTCTGACACGTGTGCTAAAAAAAGTAAAAATGTTGCCCAAGAAATACGAGTAGAAGAAGCATTTGCCCTAGAGCAACAATTGCAAAAATGCAGCGAATGCAGTCCAATCCTACCTTGAAGCGCATCCATGGAGTGTATTCAATGTCGTATACAAATGGGTTACTGCTACCGGTTTTCGGCTCCGGAAGTCGCCTCACCCTTCCCATCGTTTTGGCTATTCTTTCCAACTATTCAAAATGTGCAAAATCAAGAATTCTAGGCACTGCATGCATGCAATGAAGGACTGGTGGTGCTCTTTCACAACTAGACAGTATAAGGCACCACGTCGTTCAATCCGTGTTCGAATGATGAGTGCTGAAAGAGAGAGAGAGAGAGACCCACGGAGGAAATCTCCTTCGTCCCGTCCAAATCAGCACTGACTTGACAGTGATGGATTTGAAAATAATTTTGTTACAATCATAATCATTGTTGGGGAACTAATAATAATAATTATTATTACTTTGGGGGGGGGGGGGGGAGGTCGTACAAACCAGGGAGTCGTAAAAGCCCGGGAGAGGACACGGCACACATTCCCAGAAAACATCTTTGCCTCGCGCTGCCGGGGAACGCTGCCAGGGAACGGTGTTGCGAGGCAAGGAAATTATTATTTTCGAAAATTGTGATGTCTTCTTGAAATACTAATTGGGACATTCTCCGATTTCTCTTAGAGCACGGAGACGATTGCTCCGTCGAGTCTTCTGATCTCTATTTTCATCCTCATCTTCCAGCTGCCTCACTCATTCTCTCTCAGTTTATCGAAGTTAATTTATTCTGAGGCGATGGAAATGCAAGACAAATCCCTAATTGTACTTCACTTTTATTTGAGTTGGGGTGAACGAAATGAGATTTGTGGAAAATGACGCCACTTCCCGTGTTAGCCGCTGGTCGTATCATACAGCCCATATTCCATTGCAGGTGATGGGCCAACGTTCGTGTTGAGATCCGCTGAGTTTCCTCGTACTCGTGGAGTTGAATTTGTGGCAGAAATTGCACTGAATTGCAGTCAAATGGTTGTGAATGAAACGAGATTTGTGGAAAATGACGCCACTTCCCGTGTTAGCCGCTGGTCGTAGCATACAGCCCATATTCCATTGCAGGTGATGGGCCAACGTTCGTGTTGAGATCCGCTGAGTTTCCTCGTACTCGTGGAGTTGAATTTGTGGCAGAAATTGCACTGAATTGCAGTCAAATGGTTGTGAATGAAACGAGATTTGCGGAAAATGACGCCACTTCCCGTGTTAGCCGCTGGTCGTAGCATACAGCCCATATTCCATTGCAGGTGATGGGCCAACGTTCGTGTTGAGATCCGCTGAGTTTCCTCGTACTCGTGGAGTTGAATTTGTGGCAGAAATTGCACTGAATTGCAGTCAAATGGTTGTGAATGAAACGAGATTTGTGGAAAATGACGCCACTTCCCGTGTTAGCCGCTGGTCGTAGCATACAGCCCATATTCCATTGCAGGTGATGGGCGAACGTTCGTGTTGAGATCCGCTGAGCTTCCTCGTACTCGTGGAGTTGAATTTGCGGCAGAAATTGCACTGAATTGCAGTCAAATGGTTGTGAATGAAACGAGATTTGTGGAAAATGACGCCACTTCCCGTGTTAACCACTGGTCGTATCATACAGCCCATATTCCATTGCAGGTGATGGGCGAAAGTTCTTGTGGAGATCCGCTGAGCTTCCTCGGCGTACTCGTGGATTTATGAATTTGTGTCAGAAATTGCAGTCGAGTGGACTTCTGTGCGTGTGTTGTGAGTAAATCGCGACGGCTCCCTTCCTTCAGCATCGTCAAAACGCAACATAGAGCATTATTACGCACTCGTTCCATGATTCATGATAATGCCTGGATTCTTTTAAAAACAGTCAATGTGTGTTCCCTATCTATCTACATTGTACATGGTTGCAGGTCGTTATTTATAAATCTTGATAATTTCAACACTTTTCTACTCGTATACTGAGTACGCGGTGACTTGAGCCGTTTAGGAAACGGAAGTCTTGGCGAGTGTACAAAAGGTAAACCTATCATTTGTACTTCATAACGGAATTGTGCACAAAAATGCACACACACGTTCGCGCGCACACACACAAGCACACACACAAACACTGTACAAACACACACAAAAGTACAAGCACATGTGCACATACACACGCCTCCCCCCCCCCCCCCCCCCCCCCCACACACACACACACTCAACTCCCCACCCCTGTACTGAGTCTGACAGACATACAATCATGTTTATCCTTCCTTCGCCACCAGTTTCGGATAATGGTGTCAACAACGAGTTGTAAAATATTGGTATTTTAGGACTCCCTGCCCTGAAGACAAGCACAGCGCCGTGGATCGAGCAGATCCGGCCGCGCCGGCCTAGCGTGCTTCACTTTCTGGCCGAGGCAAACATCGTCCGCGTGCGCGCATCCCGTGTCCTCTCCCGGGCTTTTACGACTCCCTGGTACAAACCAACCCGAGCCCGGCGGCCCCGGCCGGGTTTGTACTTATACTTGTACATGTACAAGGCGCGATCCCGGTTTGTCGCGCGCGGGCCACAGAAAAAAGACGCGGCATAGCTACAAAATAGCTACAATTGTAGGCAAGTTGGCGGACAGCATAATTATGGCGGGCTCGAAAATTGTAGTATGCAAGGCGCCACGTCCAGGATATAATAACCATGATGACTGACTGTGTGTTGACCAGGGAGTACTGATCTACATGGTCCTTCCTGTTCTCACATTTTGTTGAGGTTGAATAAAGATAACATTTTGTCCAGTAAAATGCCAGTTTACCAGTAGTACAGTACTTAGTACTAATAGTAGTCTCTGTTGAGAACAGTGCTCCTGAATCAACCGGTTGGTCGAGTCCCGGTCTTGCGATCATCTGAACCGTATACCATAATGTCGTGTATTTAAAAAGCCGGGTTTATTCCTGTAGAAGCCGATGTCAAGGCTACAAACTACTTGTAGGCATCAGTTTTATTCACATCCGGCTTCTCATGATCAAACCCGGCAGGTATTCAATCTATGTGTGTCAACCGTGACTAAACCAGGCCCGGCTTGAAATTATGCGGCGATGCTGACAGTGTATCTTAAAAATCAGGCTTCTAAGTTCTATTCGAAACAGGCTTCTATACGAGATAGGCTTTAATACAAGACACTACGGTACGCATACGGGGTCAAGCCCCGGTTGGGACCCTCTGGAATTCTCGGCGGTCCTGTTTTGGCCTCCAAACTGTGCCTCTCGTGTATCCTATGATGTTGTGTGTTTCTCTCCTAGCCTGACTTTGTCCACCTACATCCATGCTGGTCCTTGCTGGATGCTAGCCCGGTGGTTGCCACGTCATCGGCCAATCTCCGGCCTTCGCTTGAGTGCTTGTTGTGCCCAGTCCGGTAACCTATACTAGGACCATCGACCGGCCGAAGAATGTGTTCGGGTACGAGTACAGCCCGACGGTTACTGGTCGCACACATCTTTCTTGAAATTTTATTTTTACATCGCAAAAACTTCTCTTTCTCATCAGTCTCCTAGCTCTTCTTTCATTCTCCTGGGTGGCTACCAACAGCCATGGCAGTGCACGCCAGGGTATGTGATGTGCATGCGATGTTTATCAAAAACTTGAGAAAGAAAGAAATGACTCATCGGTATAATGTCGGGTCTCCATAGTCATTATAATAGAGAGTCTAAGATGCATGCTATTTCCGACGTAACGCGAAAGTTCAGCTCGCATTATTTGTCTCTCGCGTCGAAAAACAACGCGGGTGACCTGCAGATCACGTTGAAATTTGTAGTTTTACGCCAAATTTGACGTGAAATTACGCGTCATGTCGGAAATAACGTGCATCTTAACCTCTCTATTGAACAACCCATGTTCGTGGCAGCAGTATAGCAGCCTCAGGGCATGTATGCCTTGCTTGTGAGCTTGCTGCAATTCTAGGCACAATTTTACACAGCGTCACATAGTTCTATCGCAAGACAACTGGCGTAAACCTCTTCACAGTCATTCAGTCTGCGGTGTGTTTCAAACGGTCAACCAATTACGGCAAGATTAGTCATAACCTTCATAAGTACTCTTCAAGATTACGAGATAAAGGCAAAACCAGCCATTGATGAGACACAACGTGAGCTACAGACTCCCTTCCAGTACAATGACACTCTGAAGAAAAAACTTGAATCGTGTTACGAAGTCTCAAAGCGGCATAACGTCACACTCAGTAGTACATGTATAGACTGACCGGCAGCAGCAGCAGCATCATCGGTTGATATGGAGTGCTTCAAGTCTTAGTCGGATCAGCCGGCCTAGGTTCAACTGGGTGTTAGCAGAGTGTGGCGTGTCAGAGGTGCTGCAGCCACCGGTCCTGTGCATGGTGGTATGGTGGCACCCCGGCCGGCGCGGTTAACTCCGGTATCCGTGATAACATGGGACTACACAGCAGAATATTACGTGACTTGCAAACTGGATTCAGTGATGATGCGAGATCGGATGTCAAAATAGAATCAAGAATTGAGCGGATATACCAATTACCATGACAGGCCGCCAGTAAAGAGAGGTAGTTTACACTGTACTGGCAACTAGTGCCCTATGCAGTAGACAGCAACAACTAGTATCAAGAGAGAGGAGTGCATCTGATCAGTCTCGGTGGCCATATTCCCATGTTGTATAGCTGTTAGTATTAGCTGGCCGCTTTCGGAACGCAGTGTCTGGATGAATGGGAAGATGTTAATTTTCAACTGGGAAATCCACTCTGTGTTTCTCCACAGCAGTGGCAAGCCATGGGTGTCCTAACTCAGTGCACAAGGCGCCGCACATGTGTCCAACTCAAACACCTTCTTCCTGATTTGCAGTGCATCCGGAGTAATGGCCAGCTTAGTAGGTGAACAGTCGGCCAAGGAGACATGTCCAGTGTTGCCCTATACGAGGGGTTCACTGTTTCAGCTGTTCTGACCTCGACCAGTCACCAGCAGCTTGGCTGAGCTCATGGGCCCGGGCAGGAACGTGACTACAGCCGTGACATTGTCGGCCAGACCGTGACGGTGGAGTCCGTCCAGGGCAGCGTCCACCACCGCGCGTGATGCCTCGGCGGCAGTGGCACAGCCCCAGGCGATATCAACTGCTTTCTGGAAGTGCGCATACGCACACACGCAAACACACACACACACACACCACGGGAACACGAACAGGATAAGTGTCAGCTTCCCACAGGCAGAATTCTAACTACTGTGCACGTATTGTCTGCTACCCCACCGTGACTGCTACCTGGATCGGGCATCAGCACGAGAGGAGATGTAAGTACAAGTACATGCAACTGATCTGAGGTGTGATTCCTTTCATAGACTATTTTGAAGCACATGTATATGTATATGTATATCAGGGTTCTAGCCAGGTAAAAATAGTATGGGGGGGGGGGGGGGGCAGGGGAAACAGTTACTCCGTAACCCATTGTACCGTTTTCTAAAAGCGTCTTGCCATGCCAAATGCAACGTTCTGGGGCGAATCCCCGACTTCACCCCACACAAATGTGTCGTTGTGAAGTTGTGAACCCTCTAGTGGTGACTAGAGACTGCATTGTCGTTGAATGGCATGAAAAGACACAAACATCAACACATGAGTAGGGGGTGGGGGGGGGGGGGGGGAGGGGCACCCTCCCTACCCCCTTTGACTAGAACCCTGGTGTATCTGTAGTATGCATTATCAACTTATCATCTCTTGCCAACAACATCGAGCATGACACACAAGCTATGATCAGCATACATGTACTTTGTACGTGAGCATGTACACATGCGTACCTGGTTCGATATGCCGTCCCACACTCCATCGCTTGCCACTATCAATACCTACGCATAGATTCAGCAGACACATAATGCACACTACTGAACACACTTAAAATGCATTTAAAAGGATCCATGGCTTGTGCAAATTGGTCTACAAGGTACCGGCCACAGAACAAAATTCACAGTTCGAGTTCTGATTGGTGGAAAGGTAAAGAAAAGGAGACTGTGAGTAGATTTCGAGATGTTACCTTGTCCCTGGCTGTGAGGTCCATTTCCAGCATTTCCGGGTCGGCTATGCAGCCGACCGAATGAGCAATCTCGTCGCCGACTGACCGCGATACCATTAGGCCCGGCGTGCGCTGCAATGAGAATGACAAGATAAAGTAAATCAATATCAGAACAGAACAACTGTTACTGTAAATCACCCATTATTCGCATCACTGAATTTTCGCAAATTCTCAGAATCAGCGAGTTCACGATGGCATAACATTATTATTATTATGTTTGCGGAGCACTGTGGTTACACACATACGCCCACTGTTGAAGTTTGATTTCATGATGGCTAATATTCGCGTTATGCTTTTCCCCGCGAAAATAGCGAACAGCAATATCTTGCGAACACGAGGCCGTTCACAGTAGAGCCGCAGATTGATTTGTATTTTGTACTAATCTGAGAGGTTCCGCAGAACGTAATTACGTTTGTAAAAAACGTAGTTGATCTATGGAAGGTCTTACGTGAACTGCATGCGGATCTGTGTTCCGCCATACGGAGTTTTCGAATCACGTAGCTGCCCTTGGCAACTCCGAACGCGGCAGTGTACGACTGGATCGACCTGGGGGAAGAGTCATACATTTGTACCTCAATCCACTTACGGAGCATCTACGTTACCAGAGCCCTATCTACGTACTCTACGTAGACAACTTTCCGTAAGTGGAGTGCAAACTCGCGACTCCAGTTCACGGGTTTCCCACCCACTAACGTAAAGTTGCTCAACTTTACGTAGTGCGGAATCTCTCTATTACTATAGCCTAGGACGGTTGGCAACTTGCTGCCGGACATGCCAACAATGGAACCAGGCTATCTCTTTTGCTGTTACTCCAAGTTTCATGGCTATTCATCAATTTTCAGAACATAGCCTTGAATAGCCATGAAACTCGGAGCGACGGGAAAAATATAGCCTTGTTCCACTGTGGACTTGTGTCATTCGGGTCTGCCCTCGCGGTATCGAGCACTTCTGCAAGAAATTAGCAACTTGGCTTGGGTAGGAGTGATTGCTGTGCACATGATGAAGCCTGGCGAATCAGGGTCCATCTGATGCACTACTGAGAAATCACCCATCGAACCATAGGGCAAGTGTAACGTTACGTGGTGCTCGATAGTATTCAGGACACTGAAGTACCGGGCAGATACGCATTCTTTCAGGTTGATGACTACGCTTGGACACCAAGAATATAATTCAAAACCATTGCAGAGCGATTTTCTGGCAGACACATCGAGCAAAGCATTCATGTACATGTACGTAGATCACATATGGTTGTTTGTAGATCACATGACCATGTACAGACCATTTGACCATGAGGACAAGTAGATCGCATGATCGTGTGTGGATCACAAGACTATGGTGGTCATGCATTAGGCCCAGACAGATCCTGCCGGCAATTCTTTCGGCAAAATATCGAAGAATTGAAAGAGTGGAAATTGCCCGCAAAATTGGAGCAAAATATCGGGATGTTGGGTAAAATCGATGCCTGATACAGTCTGTATCGGCTATAGCGTACCCTTTTGATTTCCGTGATTTTATCACTATAACCGATGCATCACTATATGCGATACGATCGTTTTTTTTCGATCGACACATCAAAGGCAAGGAAATACTTCCAGCATGGCGTTTTGACAAATGAGCATGCTGCATAGTTGACAGTGCCCGCATTTCCATAAAAAAATTCTGTTATGTACATGTACATGTGTCACTATCAAAATAAGCAACGTGAAGAAAGCAAAAAAAATAGGGCCTTTGATATTATTGCAACATGTATTTTAAAGTTATCACTGAAGCCGATAATAATGTAGTGTGTTATGCATGTTTTGATTCTTTGTTGCCATCATAATATCCGATATATCATTACATCCGATAATATTGGTTATAGTGATATTTGTACTGGATAAAATACGTTTTGCTTTTGATATTTGGTACCAATATCACTGTAGCCGATATATTCTTATATCCGGTCACTCTATAGCCGATACAGACTGTACTTGGATTTCCTTGTTTCTTACCCGTTCAGCAGGATACACTGCCAAGGACGAGATCATGTCACCGAAATATTACCGGGACTCACTGTGGATCGACATGATTTTAGAAGAACTCAGGGACACGTGCACGGAAACCCGTGTTGAGAAACCGACCCTGCGATTTTTATGAAACGTTGTACGGGATTGTACGGGAAGTGGCACGTTTTCCTGGAGCAAAATGGAGCAAAATATCGAGTTTCTTGTGCCAGGCTCGGCAAAATATCGAAGACTTCGCAGCAACATTTTGCGGCAAAATATCAAGGCGATCGGAGCAGAATCTGTCTGGGCCTATCATGCATGCACATCCCCGTATGTTGATCACATGACTATGGTGGTCATACATGTACACCCCAGTGTGTTGATCATATGACTAGGGTGGTCATGCATGCACATCCCAGTGTGTTGATCACATGACAGAAGTAGTCAACCTACCTGACCCTGCTCCTTCAGCCAAATACGCTTCGGCCCAACGAATCGTCCGCTGCACAAAGAAAACGGAGAGCACTCGAGGTGTAAGGTAGTGCAGCCTTATAGTTATACACCTAAATGTACACATGCTTTTGTAACTACCTAAAGCAACAGGCAGGGCACACTATACACATGCATGTACACAGACTGTTGTGGCTGTAGCTATAGCAACATGCAGGTCACCCTTGCGTCAATGCACAATGTAAGCCTCGTGAACAGCATCTAACAGTGCTGGCCATTGAGATCAGATCTCCTGAAAACAAGGTCCTCGTGAGGCCCAGGACCCCAATACTGCGGACACCGGACTGCCTAGTCCACTCTGGACTACTCACACGGCCAGCCAGGGATCCTTTCCATGCATATGCCACCCACCCGTACTGCATGAAGTAAGAGTAGTTCTAGGAACACAGAACTCCATACCACTACACTACACTACGCCGGTAGACTGTTGTAGAGAGAGTCACACACTTTACCAGTAATAGTATTGCTGCACTTTGCCACCGGAGCGACGAATGCGTGCAGCCTCCACCATGTCGTCACAGTTGTGATCGCGGGTCAGCTGGGCGGCTCGCAGCTTGCCCGTTTTCCGGTCCTCGCGCCCAATGACCGAGCGCGAGTCTCCGAGCCACGCCATGGTCAGCTGATTGTGACGCAGGATGGCGATTGTCACCGTAGAGCCGCTGTTGAGCGTACTGAACGACGCGTTATCGCAGAGTGATTTGTGTGTTTGCAGGCACGCTGACCGTAATATCTGCTTGCGGCCGCCCATCATCGCCGCCGCCGCACCCCCACCGACGCCATTCAGTGGATCCAACGGAGGCGGCCCGAACATTGCCTCGTCGCGTGCGGCCTGCGCGATCCGTGAGTACAGTAGCTTGGTGCCATGTTTGGCCACATCTCCACCGGTCGGCCCGTGGCCGTCGAGCACCGACACATACAGTTCATCAGAGCTCAGCCGCTGGATGTCAAACACGTCCTGATTCTCAGGTTTAGCACCAATCTCCGACCAGCCAGCCACGTCATACTGGCCCTTCAGCTGAGCCTGGCGATCGTGGAGTAGCTCCGTGTTCGCGCCGGCAACGAATAGATCTGACTCGTCGCTTTTCATGCGTTGGAGCATGGCGGCTGTAGTGTTGTTCGACTGCCGCTGCACTCCGTTCGTCGTATCCGGTAGTATGTTACTAGAGCCAGCGTGACGTGCTCGCTGTTGCTGCTGCTGCATCAGCTCCTCGGTGAAACTGTTCTGTGTGCTGCGGCCCACCGTAGCCATTCCTGATGTCCTGCTTGACTGGTGTTGCTGTTGCTGCTGCTGATGATGATGATGATGCTGCTGGGCATTGCTGGACTGCCGATGAGATGTGATGGATGGCAGGACGATGCCACGCTCGCGCTCATGACGAGCAGTGCCGTGGCCAAACGACGACGAGGTGGTGTCGGGTGGAAACTCGGACCGGTTGCCGCCGCGAAATGGCTGAGCCGTTCCCGTGGTCGTCATGTTACTGTTGGTCAGTACAGGCAAGGTCTTCTGTCGTGCTAGGGGTGCCTGTACTGCTGGTGGCGGTGGCGCTGCTATGTGCCTTGAACTGCTTGCCATACCAGCAATAACACCCACCCCACTTGTTGTTTCATCTATGGCGGGCATGGCGTGTGGTCGCCTTGTTGTTGTCGTGTTCGACTCCGCAGCCGCCTGGCCTCTTCTCGGCGTTCGAGATGGTCGACCACCTAGCTCGACGCTGGAGGAGTTTGTCGACGGAAGCTTAGCGCCCTTGCCTGAATTTCGCGTCCCTCCAGTGATTGATAGCGGTGCGGCCGCTGCGGAGCTGGCAGTGTTCGCATTGTCACCAGACCGCATTCCTGCTGATCCGCCGACCATGGAGAGGGATGGCAAAGCCACACCGCGACCGGTGCGATTGTTGTGAGCCATGGCTACAAGTACAAGTATATCCAGGCTAGGCGAGTTGCTCGATGTCGCACCGGATTCATTAGAGTTGGGGAAGTCGCAAGGAACACGCAAATATTCTTCCACATCGGCACTACATAATAATTACCTGAGCTGAATGACGAAAAACAAGTGACTTCCCACCACGCCACAGCGAAGCGAAGTACTAAGTCTCACGAACCAGCCACCTAGTACCTGGTGTCGACGGACACAACACGATTGCCCTGCAGGCACGGACGGAATCTTCTTGTAAGCTTAGTGTCGACTCTTGACAAACACTCTAATTTCTAAACACACACACGGCCTACTGTCTGTACTTGTTGCCTACGCTCATCATTGCCTTGCGTCGATCGTCTGTTGCCGGCACACAGCTAGACAGGCACACCGAGAACCTGTTTTTTCTGCCACAAAATGAAGGACAGGTTCTTCATCACTGTCATGTCAGGTCAGATGGCCAGCATACAATGATACATGACTGTACAAGTAGAGACAAGAGTTTGTGTAGTTTCTTGCATGATTCATGATTGTGCATTACCATGCCTAGCGCCTACTGGCTGACTATGTCTGTGTATGGCCGAATCATGTAGATCTACATGATGTAGCTAGCTGGTGATCATGCATGGTGATGGTGATCGTGAGTGGGAAGGTAGCACGCATACAGTCGTCCCTCTCTAATCCGGCACTTGTTTATCCAGCACCCTTGCAAACCAGCACACTTTCTGGCAAAACGGATTTTTTCAGTTCATTTTCTACGGCACTTGAATTCCGCCTCCGGCAGCGATTTTCTGCAACAAATCACTCGAACTGTACATAATTTGATCTTCTAATCCAGCAGTTGTACATCGCATACCGTACCGGTGCCAATATCCTACATGTATGCCAGTGCATAGGATATTCCCAAGTGTATGTTATAGAGATGGCATGTTACAGACATGCATTCCACAAACTTGTGACAAAGTACTTGGATTGACACAGAAAATCCCTACATTTTGACGTACTACACAAACATGTACAAAGTCATGTACGTTACTAGGTGAGCCGGGTGGGAGGGCAGGATTTGATAATCCAGCACCCTTGTTTATCCGGCAGAAAATGCCGTTGCAAAAGGTGCCGGATTAGAGAGGGACGACTGTATATGCATAGTCAGCCACGGACGATACGTGCATAAGGCCAGAGTCTGAGCTACATCTACATGTATTCTAGACATCCTCTCTTTACACATGAGTGATGCTGGGACTACCACATACTAGTGCTCTTCTCGGATTGCTTTCTCTTTACTTGTGTGTTCATATCGGAATTGTTTTCTGCCCGTAAAAGTGGTTTGGTCAGTGCGTTTGTACTAAAACGGGTTTATTCAATCAATATGACATGGACAGAAGGAAGAACACCAAAGATACAAGGGATGAAGCTCGGAAATACATGTACATGTACATGACTACATGTAGTCTAAACTCTAATCCAAGAAACTCTAGTTTACACGTAGGCAGAGGCATCCCTGGTTTCGGTTGTGACTGCACTCTGCACTGCACTGCAGTCTAGCTCTTCCCACAACTGGCACAACTCACAACGCACAGCCACAACCATGACAACTGCACAAGTCAAAGAGTCGAGATATGCATCATTTGCATGCAACGATTTTGATCGACTTCCTGGCGACTGCGTAACTATAGTAACTGATGCTAGTAGTCCCGGCCGCGCCGGGATCAGATAGGACCGCAGAAAACGGTTTGTGCTGAGCTCATATATCAGCCAGAAAATCGCGATTTATGCAGACTCTCCCGTCTACCGTAACCATGGTAACGCGGTACCGCCGTACCGGTGTCCCATCTCTCGGACATAGTCATTCGTGAGTCGTGACGCGTTCGATCTCGCGCTAGCGTGTTGCACCATGCCCTGGCGTGACATGATGTCTTGATGATGGGCAGGGCCCTTGGTAAAAGTCGTGACGTTAGAGGAAAGTAACACTACAGTTGCCAGCACGGTGCAACTAGTGCGCTAGTACATGTAGTGCTGTTGTTGCGTCGATACGAGCTCGTACGAGCGACGTACTGATACGTGCGTTGCTTACTGTTTCTGTTTTTAGTGTTTGTGAAAACTGGTTATGAGCAATGACGTTGGTGTCGTCCCAGATTTGATCCCTCCTCGGGCTCCTGCTCACTCTCACTCTCAGTCACAGCTAGCTGGTGGTGGTACCGGTAAGGTGTCGATGAGCGAGACTCGGCACCGTTGTCTGATCTACCTCGACTGTACTGCAGCAGTCGTCTGTGCATGATCCCGGCGCCTGTGTATTTTTTTTCAAAATTATTATCAAACTCCGTTGATTTTGAAAATTGAATGAAAAAGCTTGAAGCGATCAGTGTTGAGCAGAAGTCATGGATGAGCCTGACGGAGCTGCTGCATCCTCTCCCCACTTCGCCTTGATGGATGGTGTTGGTCCTGTGAAGCGACGTCGACCAATGCAGTCTAGCGGTGAGATTCGTCGCGTTGTGCGCGGCGGTTACGACGCTACGTTCGCTCTCTCGTCGGGCCCGGACGCGAAACACATGTGTACGATATGTAGCAAGGTTCTGCGCCAGCCGATGCAGACGAAATGTGGCCACCGCGTATGTGCATCCTGCGTCAACCCTCTCATGTGAGTAACATACGTAATGATTCACAGTGATTCATATCGGTGCCATCAACCCAAAACATGGGAAGTCGGTATCATTCCACAACAGGATAAATTTCTGGCAATGTACAGTTTGAAAATTGATTGGTAACGGGCAAATTTCACAGCCAAATGCTGCAGCTAATACATATACTATGTGAACCCCTTGCCGACCGTGATCACGTGACCGAAGTCTTTAATGTCAGCACAGCAAAACCCCGTGCTAACCTGACGCCCTTGGTGCAGCGGAAACCGTCCTGATAATGATGACGGGATCCCGCTTGATCCAGGGATGCACGTTCGATCTATAGCACTTTGGTACATGGCAAATTTGTCCGGTCACTACAGGATTCCGCTTGCTACAGGGTCCGGCTAAACCAGGTTAAAGTGTACTGGGATAGTCAAGGTTATGATCTACACAACAAAGTCCATACGTCGGCTATCGGGACACGGCCGTGCCGGGTATGTGAATGCATCGTTGCACTGACATCTGACGTCTTTCTCTGCTTTTGCTTGATGTTGTGTAGGGGAGGTGGAACTTTCCTTTGCCCGGATTCAGGATGTGCCAGTGAGCTAAGCGAGGGGGATGTAAGTACAGAATCCTGCATTGGGATGTGTGGTGCGTCAGCAAAGCGTGTGGGTGACGCATGCACGCCTGTGTGTGTGTGTGTTTGTGTGTGTGTGTGTGTGTGTGTGTGTGTGTGTGTGTGTGTGTGTGTAGTTGCAGATGACGAGAAGACCATTTTCTTTGTGAAGATATGCATAGTTCATAGCCGTCTGCAATCATGACGGCTTTGGGAATCCTTACACATGACAAATTCATGTATGTTGAGAGTGAACACTGCTCTCACTACTATATGGTTGGCAGCGCTTGGCATCTCCCATCCCCTCCACCATCTGGCCTTTGTTTTACTGTAGCTCTTTCGGGACACGTTTGCCGAACGTGAAATTCTTGCTTTGGAAGTCGTGTGTTCGGCGATCACTGATGGGTGCCAATGGTCTGGGACGCTGAGAGAGCTAGAAGTAAGTTGGACAACATTCAATGGTGTGTTGCTAGTTACTCATTGCATCCCTATGTTTTGTGACATTCAGTATTTAATTAAACAAATGGCGAGGAGACAATAACTTGATAACCGCAATCAATAAGATAAGCTGAATCGACATGTGTGTATACTTTATTCATGTAAGGGGTCGTCCGTAAATATCGAACTTTTTTCACAAAACGAAATAATTTCGTTATGGGGTGGGAGGGGGTTGACCAATTTCGTTTCAGAAAACATTGATTCATGTACATGGCCGTTGTATATACATGTATATCAACATTTTTTACGTTCTGAGGAGGAGGGAGGGAGGGGTTGGGACTAAACTAAAATAATTCGTTTGGTGAAAAAAGTTCGATATTTACGGACGGCCCCTAATTCAATGCAATTCAGTATTGTTACATGTTGTATGCACATGTGTGGGCAAGTGTGTGCTTGTGGGTGTTGGCGGGGTGCTGAATGAATCTGACACCTAACTGATCACAACTCAGTGTAATTCAGCACACAGGAAGCACGTTGAGCCTTTCACTTTGCAAACGTTGTGTTCGGAATGGCTTCTCTGCTTGTACTTCATGCTACATGCACTCATGCACCCATTCGTTTTGTAGGTTGGCTAGTCACGGGGGAGGGGGCAAGCGAAAGAGGGCACGGCGACACGGTATAGTGTGTGGCTTATCACCCTAACTGCATTGTGGGAAACATCTTTGACTACTGCCACAGGATCATCTGGAAGAATGCCCGTACATTCTAGTGCCTTGCGGGCAGAATAGCTGCACGGAACTGGTCCAGCGACGCTACCTGCTCACACACCGGCAGGAGAAGTGCCAGTTTCGCTTTGTCAACTGCAGTCACTGCGGAACTCCTATCGTCCTGCACTCAATGCCTGTAAGTGACTAAGCAGATAACCAAGCTCCTCTTTATTTGTTAGAACCCGCAACAACTTGAATAGCTGCTGTGTGCTTTAGAGTATAGTACAGACCTAGCTGTTTGGTGTGTGATATGAATACTTTGAAGTACAGCCATGATAGTAACCATAATTGTGGTTCTGGTGCGCATACAGGCGCATAGCCCCGCATACAGGCGCATAGCCCCGCATAGTGCACGTGCACCGCCCTAAACATTTCGACCTAGGTTCAGCATGCACATAATGACCATGATGACATGCACCAGCCATCCTACACGTATGGTATCGGCATACTATTCGAACTTCAAATACAACACAATATTGCGCAAGAGTATTTAGGTGAAGCGGCCGTGCACCCCCCCCCCCCCCGCCCCGTCAAAGGGGGACCAGCTACACCCCTGGTATAACAATAATCTGCGCCTAGAGTGATGCTTGTACGTGAGGTGCTGTTTTCATAATTCATTTCTGTAAAGCCTCCTCCCCCCCCCAGTACACGGCGTTCATGGGCAATGGCATGGATCTAATGCCGCAGTAATGCGTGGTCTGTGCTTATAGATTTAGTCGGATCACATTGAATCACCGGCCACCTGTGCGGTGAGATCAGCTTTCAAAGGTCGTTAGTGACAGTTTACTGCGCTTTACATGGCCAAACACCTAGTTATCATTGCACACCATAGCGGCATAGGATCGAGAAAGTCCTGCACTGTTTCCTGAATCCTGATTGATAATCCTGTTATTTCATGTCTTGTCGTAACACAGGAACACCAGTATCAATGCAGAGAATGGCCAATGGATTGTCCTCAGGGCTGTGGCATGACTGCGCTGCCCAAGAGCTTGGTGAGTGACGTCCGACTGATTTGGACTACTGCTGCATTGCGAGTCCCTACCACCTTTACCACTTGTTTTTCTTCGTGTTGCTCAGTAGTGATTGCAACGCATACTCCACTGCCGCTTATTGAATTGTGCGGCACGGGTTGTCACGGGTATCAGTGTTGTGGTCCGAACCCCTTGCTTTGGCTGCCAACCTGGCACAGACCATGAATATCTCCCCTACCAGTACGTTCGTAGAACTCCTCAGTTTACTACCAGAATAGCAGCCACAGTGGAGATCCGGGATATGACGACCTTGCATACAACAACAGATTGAGTTTAGTGACACAATTCTGTTGCCCAAGTCGTTTAGTAAGTACTGTGCGAAGATCGGATATAGTGACATTTTGTTCTCTCCCGAAGGAGTGTCGTTATGTCCAATCTCCACTGTACCTACCATACTTCCTCACGTAAAATTGCATGTGCTTATAAGTGAAGGGTTTACCGGGTGTTAGCGACCGTCGTGAGTTCCCTGCGTAGAACTCCTCAGTTTACTACCAGAATAGCAGCCACAGTGGAGATCCGGGATATGACGACCTTGCATACAACAACAAATTGAGTTTAGTGACACAATTCTGTTGCCCAAGTCGTTTAGTTAGTACTGTGCGAAGATCGGATATAGTGACATTTTGTTCTCTCCCGAAGGAGTGTCGTTATGTCCAATCTCCACTGTACCTACCACACTTCCTCACGTAAAATTGTGCTTATAAGTGAAGGGTTTACCGGGTGTTAGCGACCGTCGTGAGTTCCCTTCGGGAACGGACACGATAATTTACTTTTTTTCTTTCTTTTTTATTATAAAGTGAAAAATTGCTACAAAAAAGTTTTTTTTGCTGTGTAAACATGTCCGGGTAAAAAAGCACATGTGCTTATATGTGCAATAAACTGGGTTTGTTTGTGTCCAAAACACTGGTGTTATCACAATGCTTATTCAGCTGCTGGGTGCTTCACTAATAGTGTTAACATTAATATAAGCACATGCGCTTATAATGGTGGGGGGGGGGGGGTGCTTATGTCCTGACATAACTTCATAAGCACGTGTGCGTGTATGTGTGGATGTACGGTAGGTACTTCTAGAGTGGCATGCATTCTGATTGCAGTGCAAACAAGGGGAGAGACTAAGGGCGGGTAATGATCAGGTTGTAACACTTTGAAGTTTTGAGCTGAGCATGGTATATATTTTGAACTGTAATCTCGCACATTTAGGGACATGGTCTTATTTTTGAATATAGGCCGAGCACTCTCGCTTGTAAGAACATGCACTTCTATGTGAATGAAATCACAAAATCACACGAGGTTCATTATGGTTCCGTTGTACTGGCATTAACCAATAATATGCGTACTTGCACATGTCCATGTCGATGCGATGTTTTTCTCTCGCATATAAGACCATGATCTTATAATCGAACGAAAATGCACTTGTGAAAGGACAGAAAACAGCGACTTTTTGATTATAAGACCATGGTGTTATATGCGAGAGAAAAACATCGCGTCGACATGACCATGGTCTTATATACGCGAGATTACGGTATGTTGCGTGCATCTTGATTTCTGCAATGGCTTTGCATTGCTGCTTTATTGTGCCTTCTCTTCACGCAGGTTGACGAGCATCTAGACAAGGAATGTGTGCTGACCGTCACAAGTTGCAAGTTCGCATTTGTGGACTGCACGTTTAAGGTATGAGCTCCCAATGCGCACTGTTGCTTGTATGGACATCTTGCTGCTCATCGAACGATTGACTCTTGATCGAAGACACACACCAGAACGCATGTTTACAGCGTTGTGATACTGCTTCACCCGGTATCTTCATTTCTGCCCAGAACCATTACATTTTTTTGCAAATTGTCTCTTTTCTCTGTACGCTTAAAGCATTCTCCTCTACTTGGCTGTGTTGTTCTGTTTGCTGAAGGGTAATCGCCGTGATATGGAAGAGCACTTGAGGACTGACTCCTCATACCACCTCGTTCAGCTTGCCAACCTATGCCATGTCCAGCAGCGTCAGCTGTCGGAACGCTCCAAGGAGGTCACCGCGCTGCAAACGCAGCTCAACTACGTCGTGGAGCATATGAGAATGCCTGGCGCGAAGGCTGCTGCGTCGTCCTCGGCTGATCCACCTTCAGCCAGTGGGGTAAGGCAGTGGTGCACTGCGGTAGTCTGGGGTGACCCGGTCCACCTGGACAGTAGCATTACACATTACTTTGTGACAGCACTGGCTGAATTACCCGTTTCCCGGGCATGTCATGAATCAGTGGGTCTACGGGCTCCAGTAAGGAGATGTTGTGTAAGTCATTATGAAATGCGGCGGAGTAGTTGGCTTCTGACATAAATTCACTACGAATCACCTTCAATTATCTCTATAGCTTTCACCATTCCCACTCGCCGTTATCCTTTTTGAACTGAAATGACCATGGGAGATTCTGTAAGCGAAAGTATAGCCAGCATTGCTTCTAAGTGAAGTGAGAAGGTTCGTACTTTCGTTCTAAGAAGGTGTTAGAAATCCTGCTTTTCCAAATCAGCAAAACATTGAGTGTTTTTGGCAGAGTGTCACCTGCACCTGAGCAGCCGTGTACTGGGTAAATTTGCTGCCATATACTACATGTAGTGTAACAATGGCCATACCTTGTCAGTACACGTATTTGTTTACATCACGTGCACGTATCTAATGAACTTCAGGAGAACTAGTGTTTTCTTCAATTATTATTTTCTCTCTTTTGCTGCATGATGGTATTTGCAGAGCAAATCCGGCCTTGCATCGCTCTTCTCTCGGAGAGATTCAAGCCCGTCAAGGAGTTCACCGAGCGACCTGTTGAAGACTACTCAGGACCGAGTTAACAGTCTCGAACAGCGCTTGTACTCCCTGGAGTCGTCGCAGAGTTGCAACGGCGTGCTCATCTGGAAGCTGGAAGAGTTTAGCAAGCATCGACGGGCAGCTATCAAAGGTATGTGTTCTACTCTGTTTGATACCTAGCGGTTGCGTACTGCACGTTAAAATCTCTGTTGACCTCAGTCTACGGTTGTGTATTCACTAATACCGGCATTGACAAATCAGACAAAGGAGATTGAAACAGCTGTTTCTGCATCCTTGACGGCGATGAACACTGTGGTGTCGTTTGGTACGATTTGCACAGCACTGAACAACAAAGCACACGCATGTGCTGTGAATTGGGTGGTTGTACAACAAAGTCACCTATTTTGCGATTAGGCCCGTAACAAAATCAAAAAGAAAGACAGTTAAACCTGTCAAAGAAATACAGTTAAACCGCTCAAGGGACTTTCAAAGTGTGGTCTCCGCTGTAACCAGCTGATCTCCTTATCCAGTGCCATTAGACTGGAAATAGCATCCCTTGGTCCTGGCTGCAGTGGTCTTCTGGGACAGGTGGTCGCCTTATCCGAGTGGTTCCCTTGACAGGTTCTGCTGTACAGTAAAACCTGGTGTAAGCGACCTCTGTCTTTAGCGACCACCTGCTCTTAACGACCTCTGTCTTTAGCGACCACCTGCTCTTAACGACCTCTGTCTTTAGCGACCACCTGCTCTTAACGACCTCTGTCTTTAGCGACCACCTGCTCTTAACGACCTCTGTCTTTAGCGACCACCTGCTCTTAACGACTGTTTTTCCATGCACGGACAGTTCTATACAGAAACTGCACCGGATACAGCGACCACCTGCCTTGCGCGACCAGCGACCGACTATTAGTGTACCAAGTGCAGTATTGGACCTGCACACAGCGACCAAAACTAACCAAAAGTGCCATCTTGGCTGGCAGAGTTGACTACAACAGGGTTGAAGTGCGCTCTGAAGCAAGTGGATGCAGTCAATTGAAGTGACAGTGCAGAATGCGCTGCATGCACTCCAGTGAGGTGTGCTTTGCCTGCACGAGAGTATTCTATGCTCCACACCTGTCAATATGAGTACATGGAAGTACAATCAAGCACATGTATGCATAATCCGATATACCACGAATGAATGGGACCTGGTTCTAAAGACCACCTGGCTTTAACGACCGCTTTTGCTTGCACCGTGGGGTGATCGCTTAAACCATGTTTCACTGTACTTTGAAAGCGCCCAACCGAGACGCTCAACATCGAGCCAAATTGGGAGAAAAGCAGAACAAAAAAGGCACTGCAAAGTTCGAACTACTTCACTGGGAACCTGCCCTCTTTTAAAAACTTGACAACCATTGTTCTGTCCCCATTCACATTCGGACAGGCAAGGTCATCTTGCACTTGCACACGTTTCTTACCCAAGGAAGAAGACCATGAACATTAGTTGAGCATGCGCATGAGAGGAAGAACAGAGCAAAGACTACACATCATGGAGTAGAGATTTTACTACTCAAAGTATATACATTCTACGTAATGCAAGGCATAACAACCGTGTTCCTGGCAGTCTGGAGGTTGGCAATGGCACAGGTGTACGGCCTTGCCTTGGCATGGTCACGAGCACAGCCTCCAGATTCTGTTGATAGGAATGTAACCAGAAGGACAATTGGAACTATCTCACAATCTAATCCCGTTTGTGTGCCATCTGCCCGTTCACCTAAAATCCGTGTCTTGATTCTTTCCCCATATGGAAACAACGGGAGGATAAAGGTGAACTTAAAGTCATCATGTTCATATTGTGGTGGTATTTCGGTTCCGTCTTTTTTTTGTGCATGTAGGAACTATGCGCCACATCACGTCCGCGCCGTTCTACACCAGTCCACACGGCTACAAGCTGTGTGCGCGTGTGTACCTGAACGGCGATGGGCTTGGCGAGGGCTCCTTTGTCTCGCTGTACACGGTGGTGATGCGCGGCGAGTACGACTCGGTGCTGCGATGGCCGTTCGGCGCTCGCGTCACCCTGACGCTGCTCGACCAGGGCACGGCGCAGCGACATCATCACGAGAAGTTCGTGCCCGACGGCCGACAGTCGTCGTTTGGCCGGCCGGTCGGCGAGGCCAACGTTGCCAGCGGCTGTCCGAAGTTCTTCAAGCTCAGCGGCCTGGAGCACTACGACTACGTGAGGGACGATACCATTGTGTTCAGGATCAGGGTTGATACCTCCAGCATTGTCTCTGTTGATACACCAACGTTTGCATGACCTGCTTGATCTACCTGCAAAGCAAATGGAGTAATTTTTATCAAATATTTTGCTCTTCTAGGCCTAGGTTTTCCCTTTCTTGTCAAAATGGCATTCAATAGTCCTTCTTGGTGTACCACAACTGCACAGTACAGCTGCGAAGAGACAACAATCATCGAGTAATAATTATTGTTGGAAAGACTTTCTAAAGTAAAGAGTAGGGTGCTGAACGATGTGAACGGTGCCGTCCTGGTCCCAGTGTACTCACATGCATTACTCACAGTCATGCCTTCCACGTTTGCATGGCAATATGCAATGAGACATTGTGCTCTGAAAAAACCCCGATACGCGTGGATGGAGTGCTACTGCTACTAGTACACCCTCCTACTCGTTAGTACTACTAGTGCTAGGCGTAGTTGATGCACGGATACACGTCGTTGTGCTTTCGCTGCAGAATGGCCACTAAGGGGCGTTCGAATTGTCGTCATCAACTGTTCGAACACATTTTTGAAAGAGATCAGTTGAAGTGTCCCATTAGAACGGTTTCTATCACTTTAGAGTTTTTCAGTGGAATTGTCATGGCGATGATGACGTCCGATCAGATCGACCATCTCCACGTACCACGTGACGTAGCTATTCCAAACTCTTCGGAACTAATCCACCTCTCCCATAGGATGACGTTGTGGAGTTTCGAGGAGCTTCGTTCTTCTAAAGAGGCCCACCTCTTCAGAAAAACGAAACTCCTCGAAAAGTCAAAGAGTGACAATTCGCCTAAACTCCGAGGTTTATAAGCTATGACTCTTGGTAGCGCCGCTTATGCACTACCGGTATTATGCAGTGTCCTACGCTGGATGCAAACATGGCGACTTAGATCCAACCTGACTAAAACTGAAATAATGTTCCTTCCCCCAATCTCATCCATGTAACTTTTACACCATCCTGATTTCCCAGAACCCATAAAGGTTGTTTCCAACCATAAACACCTGGGTATAATGCTTGATGATCGTCTCTCTTGGTCTTACCATATTGATGCTCTTTGCAGCCGTTCAAGCTCTGCCCTAGGTGTTATACGTCCCCATTGTTTCCATCTTCCTGTCAAATGCAAAAAAAATGTTTCACAAACTGTACATCCTGCCTCTTTTTATGTACGCTGCTGTTAGCTGGTGTGGCTTATCCTCGGTTCTCGCTGAGCGTCTCAAAATCCACCTTTAGAAAACTTCTTCGTATCCTGTTTAGTCTACCCCCTCTCTACTCTTTTGCTTCCCTGTATGTCCTTGCAAATGCTTGCCCACTGTCAACCCACCGTCAAAAATTAATTTGCACTTTTGCTCACAAATTTAAACTAGCTCTACATCCTCCTCATCTTAGCGTGTATAACTGGTTCCGAACCACGGATGGCTCCCAGACAAGATGCTCTGTTGCCCTCCCCTTGGCTAAAACGTCCTCCCTTGTACACTCTCCACTCTTTGTTGCCTACTCTGCTTGGCTTGCGCTGCCCGCTACTACTATGATGCGCAATGCCAGTACCCTGGACGCATTTAAATCTGCTCACTAGATTCACCATCACCTGTCCCTCCCATGCTTCTCTGCCTTGACCATTACTTTTCTTCTTTTATTCCCCATGGTTGGTTAACACCCACATCTCGCGTACTGGCTGATTTTCTTTTCATGCCATGAGGTGTTGTCTATAATTATAATAATAATAATAATCATTAAAAATTCGACGAGGAGACAATAATTTTACAGACTCAGATAGATATTCTGAACCATGCGCTGAAGTCACGATTTCATTATCGTGGTGTTGTATTTAACGTAGTGTTCCTTAGACGTTGTCTGGACAATGGTGTTTGTCCAGGTGGTGTAGAGAACCGTGTCCGCAGGACCAAAGCTTACCACACGTTTAAACATCGAACGCGTATTCATGAAAGACGAGATTGCCCGGTCCTGCGACACTTTGTCAAAGTCACGTTCGCGGTTTAGGTATTTGTATGATCGTGCACGCTGCTTTCTCTCCTCTCACGACTTCTTGAGATTCTCTATGCTCCTTTCGGAAAATGACCAGAAACAACGTATCCATCTAATCACAAAACATGACAAGACCTACAATTGGCTAAGACAGAAAAGATATGGACATGTCACAATCGATCCTGATACCACCATAATTAACATGACATCACTAGAGTTGACCACTCTTCAGAAAGAGCTCCTCTGTCGTGGAACCGATTTCGGGATTCCACCAAAATCAAACAAGAAGGAAGTAATCACGACCGAGTTTGAGCTCTTTTACCGCAAGTTATTACGCTTCAGACCAGTGTCCGAGTCACAACAGTCCATTTGCGCCGCAAAGATCCGGGCAGAGGCCGAGGAACACGCTGATGCATTACCGGATAGAAGAACGTTTTCATTGAAACGCGAACATCTCAAAGCCCTGCATGAGCTACGGAATAACAAAGACATTATTGTCACGCGCCCTGATAAGGGTCGTGCAACTGTTTTAATGAATAAAACTGACTACATCGAGAAGATGTCCGTTATCCTAAATGACACATCAAAGTTCCGTACACTTGGTCCGGTCAAGACCTGTGATCGAACTGAAAAAGTAGAAAAGGATCTTGTAACTTATCTTAAGAAGCTAAAGAATGAAGAACAAATATCAAAACATGAATTCGATCGCATCAAACCGACTGGTACCCTTCGTCCTCGACTCTATGGCCTTCCTAAAATCCATAAACCTACATGCCCTGTTAGACCAATAGTATCCATGACCGCCTCCCCTCAATACTCTATCTCGAAATGGCTGTGCATCTACCTACAGCCTGTTCAAGATTACTATTGCAAACGCACTGTGAAGGATAGCTTCGACTTTGTTGCGAGGCTTCGTGATAGTCCGGTCCCTCTCAATGCACACATGTGTTCCTTCGATGTTGTAAGTCTCTTTACGAATGTTCCTATTGATGAGACTGTTGACATCTGTATGGATGTATTGTACCGTAACGATGATGTTGATACTCCATGGGTATCGGAAGCGGCGTTTCGTCATTTGATGCTGTCAGTTACAACTGGTGTCGAGTTTTCGTTCAACGATGTGATGTACAAGCAAGTGGATGGTGTGGCGATGGGATCTCCTCTTGGTCCCGTCCTCGCCAATATATTCGTTGGTTATTGTGAGTGCAAGATTGATGAGTCGCTTTGGCCCGCGTTCTACGTGCGTTTTGTTGACGATTCGTTCACGCATTTTGACAGTGTTGAGAGCAGTGAATTGTTTCTCGATGTGCTCAACAGCCTACATCCTTCCCTCCGCTTTACTTGTGAGCACGAGCAGTCTAGTAAGTTGTCATTTCTAGACGTGCTTGTAGAGAAGACTGGCTGTGAAATGTTGACTTCTGTGTATCGTAAGCCTACGTTCACCGGTCAGTACATTGCCTTCGATTCATATTGTTCGTCTCAATACAAGGTCAACTTAGTTCGTAACCTCGTGGACCGTGCGCAACGTATTTGTTCGCCCAGTAAGCTGCAGGCCGAGCTCGATTTTCTTCGATCTGTTTTCTTGAAGAATGGCTATCCGGAATTCTTGTTGCGTAAGTTTCTGTCCATGGAGCAGAAACCGAAATCGGTGCTGATTGGTCCACCTCGCTGTCCCGTCTATCTATGTTTGCCATGGAAGGGGCAGGAATCGATCAAAGTGTGTCGCGAAGTCAAGTCTATCGTCCGTCGTACTTATTATGCAGTACATTTTGTGCCAGTCTTCACAACAATGCGTGCGTTCACGGTGCGGAAGGACGTCCTACCAACCCTCCACCTCAGTCATGTTATCTACAACTTCGAATGCCGACATTGTGCTAGTCGGTATGTTGGTAGGACTGTTCAGCACCTGAACGCACGTATCAAACAACACACTCCACTTCACATCCTTCCACCCAGTGCGCAATCTGAGAGGCCCAAACGCGGGAGGCCTAGGAAAAACCCATCACCTCCACGGCAGGATAGTTCCCTGCCGCTGTCTGCCGCTCCCCCTCTGACATCTGTGTTGGACGGGCTTGAGCTTGGCAGCTCTTTGGAGGTGCGTGCGGAACCGCCATTGGTGCAGCCCTCGGGTGTGCCTAAGTCTGTGCCTCTGGGTGCTTTGCATGGGGCTGTGCCTCGAGTGGTGACAGCACCTCTGCCTCCCCCTGACCCTCCTCCTTCGAGGTATGTGTTGGTGGAGAGCACCCGCGGCGGTCGATTTGTCCCACCGGAACTAGAGCAGGATTCAACAAAAAGACCAACAACCATGGCTGCAACAACAACACCAGCTTCACATCCAACAACAACACCAGGTTCACATCCAACAACAACAACTAATCCACAAAACAAAGCAGCAAATGACAGACCACGGAGATCTACAGCAGATTACAACCGGACCTATGAATTCACGGTAAAAATACAAAGGAAACAATCGGAAAGGACGACGACTGACATGAAGGCAACGGCATTCACGGTTGGCGTGGGTGGTGAAGGTGAGACGCAGGACGATGCAAGTGAGGAGGAGAGTCGAACCGCTGTGGATGACGGAGCAGGTTCTGATCCGGACAGTGAGGGAGAAGGTGAGCTGAGTGAGGGTGAGAGTGAGTGTGAGGGTGTGCGCGTGAGTCGAGATTGTGTGCGTCCGTCTCGTAATAAGTCTTCAGTATACAATCATTTGGTTTCTAGTACTGACTGTTGTCGTACTTATTCTGATTCCTGTTTTTCTGTTTTGTGCCGTGCTCGTCATGGTTATCTTTTGCAGTTACAAGTTTTGGAAGCTGTTTGTCAGCGCATTCATAAGCCGAATTTGTGTGTCCAGAAAGATAGTGTTATTACCCTATTTCAAATAATGTTCTTTTGTGTAGTGTGGCAACGCTGTTGCCACTTGTGCCTAAATGTGTTTTGTCACCTTCTTGTTTATTGTTGTTATTATTATTATTATCATTCGTTCTCACTTTTTTGTTTTTGTTGCTGATACACACTTGTCACGCTTAGTTCTTACTTGTATACCCTTGTGTTCTGCACACTTTTGTGAGAAATCGCACCTCGATATTCCAGTGCTGTCATTGTATCGTGTCACCCTACCTTGATTGCTATATTATTTCCTTTGTTCTCATTTTGTTCTTTAGTACAACGGTGATTCCTGAAGAGTGTTGTACGAAAACTTGTTCGAATCATCTTTTTTTCCATTGCCCCTTTTTCTTCTTACATGTATTTTTCCTTACCCTTTAGGTCGTTTCTTGCATCGTCTCCATCGCTTACATTGTTAATAAAGTAGTCCACATGTCGCTTCAGCTCGTCCTACTTATTGCCATATT